GAAGTTACTTTCAAAGGGTGTTCACCTACAAGGTGTCCCCACAGCTTATGTCAGAAATGTGTTTCAGGCCTTGACCTGGACTCAGAGCTTGATTTTACTGATGTGGGATGCAAAATGTATTTAAAATAAAACACCTGCTCCAAAGCTGTGGCTGGGATGAACTTGAAGCAGATGCTCCGAGCATTGCTGATTCCATCTGGGGTATGATCCGGTGCCCCCCAAAAGACTCCTTCTGACTTCAGTAGCTGAAGGATATCTTCCATGGGAAATACAATTAACAGAGCTTTAGAGAGTGATATATCACTTTCCTTTCTACACTAAGACCCTTCCTTTTCCACCCACATCCTGACGATCTCAGCTGACATACACACACTCGTGTAAAAGCAGGAGGAGATAAAAGCTGTAGGGAGCGTGCAGCAAGTGTCCCCGTGGCACAGGGTCCAGCTCGCTGGCAGCAGTGACACCAGTGTAATTATACACACTCCAGTCCAATCTCCCAGTAATTATTCTGGAATAAAAGCCTGCCTATTTCTGTAAGACCTTATGTCACTTGGAAAGCTGTTATAAATTTAGCTGGAAAAAGGGACCCTTATTCTGGGATAAACGTGGTTAGTGGTTAACTGGGAACGGGGCTATTCCTGGCGCTGCCATTGACCTTCCTGGTGATGCCGGGTAAGTCACCTCACCTCAGCATGTGTCACCTTCTCCTGCTGCAAACTGGGAATTACAAACAAGGGCTTTTGCACGCAGCATTTTAGGAAACTCCGTGACACTGGAAAAAAGGTGTCACAGAGTGCCAGGCACTCATTTAGTGTTACTTGGTGCCTTTCTACCCACTTTGGAGGCATCTTGATCAAACCATGGGGGAAATGAGGGACATAGCGTTGGGGACTGGCTGAGTCGCTCGAGCCTGGGCTGTTGGCATGTTACTGGGAATACTGTGTTTTCCTCTCTGTTTTTAAAAATAGTCCTTTTTGTTCCAAGTTGTAGGCCACAGCCCTCACTGGGCCATTGAAATGTCTGGGCTGCTGTTTCTTGGAACCAGCACCTTCCAGCGTGCGGGGTGGGACACGGTGCCAGCATCCAACCCCCCCAGCTGCCGGGTGCAGCAAAGAGAGGGGGTCCTGCCCCAGATGGGCAGTGTTGTCCCTCTAATCCTCATGGACTAGAAAGGCACGTCTCCCGTTTACTCTTCTGCTTGTAATATCCCTGCCCGATTCAGTTGCTGCTTCTGCAGGTCCTAAGGCCCTTGGGGAGTTTTGCTTCTCATCAGCTTCTTCTGCAGCCTCAGAAACACCCTTTGGCTCAGCATCACGAGAGCACGCGCAGTCCAAGCTGGACACGCAGCTCGTTCCTAGCACATGGCACTGAATCCATGCTAGAGATGGGGAGATTTGTTTCGGAGGGTTTTTTAATTTGCACAGACAGTGCAGGTTGGCTCACAGCCGGAATTTGTCCGTTTGGCAAAGCGGGTGCTGCCCACAGAGCAGCTGGACCAATGTGCTGATGCCGAGAGGTGAAGGCAGAGCCTGCCCTGGCACATTCCCACAACCTCTGTCCCTGCACAAGCACTGGAGTGGGGCTCAGTGCTGCTCAGAATTGGGCTCAAGCCAAAGAGGCAGAGGGGAAAAAGCCTTTTACAGTCCATTAGTGCTCCCCAGAGCCATTCAGCCCTTCTTGTCATAAAAGTGGTGGAAGCCACAGAAACATTGTGGCTGGTCTGCAGAAGATGCTGGTCTGCAGAAGATGCCAGGCCACCTCCTGGCTCCACGTCCCTTCCCAGGAGCTTTTTGTCAGAGCCGCTGGCTCTCCCGTCAGCTCTGGCTGCTGGAATTCCCTCTGGGAACAAGCTGATGAGGGCAGGTCCCCTGTCCATCCCAAGGTCCCCCAGCAAAATGTACATGGGAGGGTTCCAAGTGCAAATGTGTGTGTGCTAATGGGAACTGAATTGCCTCTTGCCCTGAAGCCTTGCAGCTTGAGGAAAACAAGACAGGGGCTAGGAATGACCTCATATCGCCTCCCAGGGAATGTTATGCCAGATGAAGGGGGGAGAGGCAGCATCAAGAGAGCACAATGTATGTATCTCTCTCCCTGTGTAAACATCTCTGTAGCTGCAGAAACCTCTTAAAACCCTAAATGAGAGGAGAACAGCTGCTTTGATCTGTGGATGTGGTTGTTGTTTTCTGAGTGCAGATCCGTTCTTTTTTTAATTTTGCTTCAAATTAAAAAAATGCCTGTTGTGATCTTTTGCTTTTATTTCTTGGCGAGGGACCGGAGCGTGGTGCAGTAAATTTTCATGACTCCCCATGTAACCGTTTCAGCATGGCTGACAGTTCCTTGCTGGCTCTTCAGCGCCGCAGCACAATGGGCCGAAGCTTCTGGCCCTACATGAAGCCAAAGCAAATGGATTTTGCCCAGAAGTGCACAACGGGGAGTGGAGGCAGCGGGGAGGAGAGTCCTGCCACCTCCTTCTCTGCCACACACGCACACTCACAAGGCTCAGGCTGGCAGGGCTGTCCCAGTGCCTGTGAAGGCTTTCAGAGAGGGCTCCCTGGAACAGATCCGTGCCAGCTCCACATGGCAGCAGCGGGAGCTGGTGAGGAGCCATCAGGGCCAAAGTGCTGGGCTGTCCTGCAGGTGATTCAAGTGTGATTCGTGGCCTTCCATTCAGACTCCCTGTGTGATCTCAGGAATCTCCATCTGCCTGACTTTCCCCGTCTGTGCGTGGGGCCAGGGGACAGCCCTGTACTTGGAGGGGCACCATGGCACAGCCCCTGGCATCTCTGTCAGCCGCTTGACCAGGCAGCATGCTTTGGGAAAAAAGCAAGATCATATCATTGTTTAGTGAGCTCCTGGTCATCAGCAGCTCACCCCAACCCTGCTGCTTTGCTGTGGGGCTTTGCAAGCCCGTTGGAGGAGCGAGATGTGGGTCTCAGCCCCTTGGCTCCCATGGCACGGCAAGGCTTCTGCTGGCCAAGGATCTGCCACAAAGGGCAAGACCCAGTTACCCCAGTGCAAGGCACTGGTTTAACTGGGAGCACTTGGCTGGAGACTCGTCTCCACTGAGGTGGCCTGGGCACAAGTGAGGAGTTTCAGTCATCCCCCCGTGCTGTCACGTGGCTGCCTGGTGTTTTGGTGTTTTAATTACGCACGGTCCTGTGTATTTAAGGCTGGTTTATGGGTGTTTATACTAATGCGTAAACCTGCAATTTAGAAGCTCAATTATAAATCAACATTGCTGAAGGTCTTGTTCCTCTTGTCGAGAGATTGGTCTCCAGATTTAGAGGATAGGTTAGAGAGAAAAAAAGGAGGACTGTTTAGTTTTCCTCTGGTTATGATGATAAAGATCACAGGATGGGGTGCGAGGTGCAGTGGCAGGCTCAGGGATCTGCTGGTGTAACCCAGCAGAGTTTCCATTTTGACTCTGCTCTTAAAACAGCCACGAGAGACTCGTGTTTATGCAGCAAATCCCAGCCGGGAGAGAAAAGCAGAGTGATGCTCATGGAAGGGTGGTGGCACCCCACTGACGATGGTTTCAGCTCGTGCCAGGATGTGAGATGCAAGGGCCAGGGCTCCTTCCTACTCGGCACAGTACAAGAGGAGCCTTCGTCCCCAGGAGCTCCTGGCACAGACTGGAGCTGGCTTCCTCTGGTGGCAGTGCCAAGCGGGATAGCACATTCCCACTGGTCATGGGCCTCTCCCAGTACTAAGGACAACACCTCTGTATTCATACTTTTATGTATAAAACTCTTTTGCAACTTTACTAACCGTTCCCACACCTTTGCCCTTTCCAGGCTGCCCTGGAGCCTGGCTGTGCCAGGGATGAGTTTGCACTACTGGTGTGGCTCAGGGGAGCAGACCTGCTCCTGCAAACCCCCTCTCAAAGGGAAGACCCCCATCCAATGAGGGCAGCCCAAGGGGGGATGTTTTTCTAGGGAAAAAATTTCTAGACCGAGGGACTCCTCAGCATCCTCCTGTCTGGCTGCAGACCCTCCTCTGTGCAGTGGGTGCCTTGGCTAGGTTGGATGTTTTCCATTGCCTACAGCCCCTTTTGTCATATCTTTAGGTGTTACTAGGACAAAAGGGGGTACGGGAGGGTTCAGGGGCAGCATGGTGGGCTGGGAGAAGCCCTTGGGCACGATAACCCTGTGGGCATGGTGGCCTCTGTGGCTGCAAGACCCTGTATCCCTGGACAGGTGGGATCACTGCACACCTTCCCCCTGCTCCTGGCTCCCAGCCTTATCTCCTGCTGCAATTTCATGGCTAGTAATGCCTTTCCTGGCTTGGAGAACAGGAACACCCAGGAAGAGAGATAGTGCCAGCAGCTCCCAGCTCAGGGATGGTCATGGAGAGGGGCAGGGGTCCCCCCTGCCTGCCTGGAGTGCCCCCAGCTGCAGGAGGCCAGGCTGTGAGAAGCTCCCACAAGCAAACAAAACCCTCTGAATATTTCAGAATGATCTTTTTCTTCTCCCTCTGCCCTTATTTTCAGTCCCTTCTCCCACCTTTCCCTGCAGCCAGCAGAGCTGCTCTCTGGCCCTGTGTTCCCCTTGCCCACAACTCCGAGATGCTCCCAGAGCTGCCAAGCCCAGCCGGGTTGTGCCATCTGCAAACTCTTGGGGTTTTTTCTTATGCATATTTTTTTCTTTCCCCTTTTCCACCCCTTGCCTTTTCTCATTCCATAAGCCTCCCCCAGCCCCCCTCCCCTTGCCACCACCTCAAGCCCTCGGCTGGCCAAGGGGCTGCGAGGTGCCGGGTGGGTCTGGGGGTTGCGGGGGGCTTTGCATTGATGCATTGATCGCCCGTGGTCTCTGCCTGACCTCCCTGCTCCCAGGGAAGCAGTCTCCATGGCTACTGGCCCTTCTCCTTCAGCGCAGACTGTAAATTCCTGCAGGCAAAGCCCAGCCTTGGGGGTGTGAGGGGGGGAGCCGGGAAGGAGTAACCAAAGCCAAATAGAAAGAAAGAAAGAAAAGCTGGGAGAGAGAAAAAGGGCGTTGCTTGGATGGGGCTCTCCTTTCCACTCCCCTTTCCCAGGTCCCCAGCACCAGGGCAAGGCGCCTGCTTCCCCCCTTCAGCGCTGCTGCTGCTGTTGCTGCTGCTCTTGCAAAACTGGAATTGGCTGGGATTATTTAAGGAAAAAAAAAAGGAGAAGGGATCAGAGCAGCCGCCAGAGAGAGGGCGATAGAGTCCACTTTCCTCCAACTGCCCTGGGTCTCCCTCCCTCGCTCTCTTCTCTTCAGCAACACCAAGAGCCCCAAACTGAACCCAAAGCAGCTTTTTCCATCAGTTCAGTTCCCTTCCCTTCCTCTGTCTCACACACGGCAAGGAGAGAGCCCCTTCCTCCCCTTGATTTTCCTTCGCATGCTCAGCCCCTTGTTTCCTTTAAAGCACTAGAAATCCCCCTTCTTGCCCCTGCTCCTCCCTGCAGACTGGGATTGCAATGGGAGCTTTGCAGATTGCTGGATTTTCCATCCTTTTCTTTCTCCTCCACTCTGGAAACACTCTGGCAAATAAAGCCAGTCAAGGTAAGAGAAAATCTTCCCTGCTCGAAGGTTTTGCTATTTGATGTGTGGATTGGGCAGCCGGATCTCCTCCTTAGAGCTGGGGTTTAAGTGCAGGCTGGAGAAGGCAGCAGCAGTAACAACAAACAGTGGAGGGGATTTTAAATGTCGCTTGCAGATATTCTCTCCTACTGCCTTGGACTGGGGTTGGGTTTGTAAACTCTTTAATGAGTTGCATTTCTTAGACTTTAGTTTTTTCTATTTGGGCTCTTTATCTCAAGGCAGGGAGTGCAGAGGCAGAAAATTAGGGTGGGCAAACAAGTCTGGACCCATCACAGGGAAAATATGGCTGTTTAGAGGGGCTTAGGGGGGCTCTGCTGGTTTCGGTGTCTGTGAGATGGGGCTGATGCAGCGGCGGTGCGTGCGAGGAGGCTGCTCCGGGCTGGGTTGGAGGGCAGGGATGGCGGAGCGGGCGTCGATAACGCCGGGAGGCTGCATCTGTGCTCAGGGGCTTTCCATCGGCACGGGGGAGTCTCAGATGTTGGCTCCAGGGGTGTGGGGAGCAGAAAACTTCGGGTAGCTGAGCATAGCAAAGCCTGAAAAATAAGGGAGCTCTTTCCCTATCTCTTGGAAAGAGAGGTACATCCCATCCTTATCAACTTCTGGCTTTTCTGATTCACCGCTCCCGTGTTGAACTAGAGCCTCCCCTTCACAGATGCACACACAGAGCCTTATGTATGGTCTATCTATACCTTCGCTTTTCTATAGCACCTCTATATTTAGCCCCGATTTTTTTCTCTACACACGCACGGGAGTGCGTGCGCACACACGAGCACACACAGCCCTATACATGATCCTGTTGGCTGTCTCAAAGGGGGTTTTCTCCTTAATTCGCCACTATTTGTACCATCTGTTGGTTTTTCTCTTTTCTTTCCGTAGCACTTACAGGATGTAAGATTTCTCCAACCCGGCTCTGGCTGTGCTGTTGTGGCAGCTGCGTGTTTGTGCGTACGGCAGGATTAAATAGTATGTGAATGAAATCTCAGAGCGCAGAATATAATGAAAGATCTCTTATGGGCAGATTCCAGCCACGCGCCTGGTCACCCGAGCCCTGTCACTGACAAAGTTAGAAGGAATTTCAAGGCTGTTGTCTTATCTGGCTCAAAGTGTTTCTAAAACAATAGGCGACTTTTCAGGAGGGCAGCCTGGGCAAGCAGGAGAGATTTTCCAGGGCAAAGGTTTGGTAAGAAGGCATCCAGCTTCACGTAAAGCTTTATGATTTAGGCACAGAAAGGAATGCTTATGTTTTTATCCCCCCTTAAATTATCTTGAGTGTATGCATTGCTTTCATTTCTTATCATAATATTTATTTATTAAGGCCTTTTGGTTTCCAGTTCCATTTAAGCCTGAGCCAGAATTGCATTAAAATAGCAAAGTGAAATTCCATCGTGCAGAGACTTGACAGATCCCTTCAGGGAAGGAGATGGGTGGAGTGGGGGTGGAGAGAGGTGAGCTCAATCCTGCACCGGGGTACATGGCTCGCATATGCCTGGGACAGTGCCGTCTCCTCCTGGCACTGAGCAGCCCCCGGGTGTCCAGCCACTTGGCAGCCAGGGGTTTGTGGTGGGGAATTAATCCCCAAGGCTGCTGATGGGGGATTCTGTGGGCTGGGGAGGGGGAAGCAGCTGCAGAGGGGCAAAGGTTGGTGCCTGCAGGCATGCAAGGACTCTGGGCAGGGGTGGACCCGGTCCTGATCCTTTTTGGATGGGACTGAACTCGTGGACATCATGGGGGCATCACCGATGACAGGTACAACCTGTGCCTTTCCTCAGAACCCGCTGTTGCCTGGTTTCCTGCCAGTGTCACTGAGCTCCTCAAAGCTGCCCTGTGCGTCTGGGACGTGTCCCAGCAGGATATTTCTGAAAAGCATCAGCACCCCCCGTATGTGCTGGGCGATGCCCCAAGGATGGGGCACACATTGCCCCGAAGCCTTTGCCTTTTGAGGACAGCCCCTCTCACCAGGTGACTGTCACAGGCTGGGAAGGGCTCCTCTCCCATCAGATCGACTTTTCTTCCTGGGATAAGGTTGTGCCGTGGGTTGGGCTTGCTGGCTCATTTCTTGCACTGAATTACCCCAGAAAGTTTAGTCTGCGGGGAAGGAAGGATTTAGAGAACCGGCTGCCGGGCCTGGACGGTGTCTGCCAGCAGACCTGTCTGGCTGCAGGGTCAGCTTAGGGCTAGGAAAGCTTTCAAGAGGAGTACTGGCAATATAAATCTAAATAACCACAGGGAGGCTCCTGAGATGCATTCACAGCTGGGATGGACTCTCTCTTGGTCCCCCAGTCCAAGCTGCCCAATCACTGCCATGCCCACTGCTCCCCTGGGATTTGGACAGATCCTGTCACCCCCAGTGTCTCAACCCCTTGTCCATCAGTCCATCTCACAGCCTGCCAGGCAGAGGAGCTTGTCCTGAGCTCCTGCTCTCGGTGGAGCAGTGTGCTTGCCCACTGCCTGCTGGCATCTGTCCCTCCCTGTGCCCTGGGACAACTGAGCCCAGGGACTTGCAGCTCTGCAAGCTCCTCTTGTGCCAGGCAGCACTGGCCCCTCTGGCATCCCCATCACTGGGGACATGTACCAGGATTTGCCACTTTTCCCTGCAACTAATTGCACATGTCCTCAAATGATGCCAGGGCATGGGGCTGGAAGGGAGAGGCAGCATTTCCCTGGGGGGACTCAGCACTCCAGCTTGCAGCCCCTGACACTCGCCCAGATCCAGGGCAGGGTTCTGTGTGGGACTGGGGCCCCAGCCCAGCCTGCTGGTCACTCAGTGGTCACCTTTTGGTGCTGGTGGATGGAGCCACCATCCCATGTGAGGGGCCAGTGTCAGTGGGATGCACCTGCAGAACCTACGCCACCAGGGATTATTTTTTAAATATTTTTTTAAGGAATCTAAAATTTTCCAATTGCAGTGTTGAGATGGTGTTTGATTCTCCTCCCATTGCCGCCAAACCTCCTCCCCCTTGGCCTCTGCCTTCCTCCCTCTCCGGCATTCACAGTGTGTGACTGTTGTGCCTGTCCCCTCCACCCCACTGAAATATGAAATGTAAAACTGTAAACATTTCACATACGCAGTTCAAAGGAGATCTTTGACTGAGGGCGTCTAACGTGCCTGTACTGAGATTAAAAAGGGGAGGGGGTGGGTAGGAAGGAGGGAAGAAGAGTTTTTTTATAACTGCCAACTGGAGTATAAATATTCAGACACCTTGAGTCTTCCAGTGTCGATGTATTGCTGCCTCCTAACTGCTAGGGTCTTTTTTTCTTTTATTTTTATAGAGATTTTTCCTTTGCAGACAGTCACACCGGAGTAATCTATTTAGGAAAAAGTATGCATGAATGACCTTAACCTTCACTTCCAAAATTATAAGTCCCCCGAGAAGCTTTAGGAGAAGCCTGGGATGGCAAATAAGGTTTGCTCTGTCTGGCGGTGCGGGAGGATGTCCGGCCACGTTTTGGGGAGGCCATCTCACTGCTGGAGATCTTGCAATTGCTACTCCCAGAGCAAAAACCAAACAAATGCATTTTTTAAGGCAAAGCTTGATCAGTCTGATAAGCCAAAGAAACAACAACAGCAATGACAATTCCCCAGGGAGATGAACATGCTGCTGGTGGGGAGCATCGAACCCTTCATGGGGAAATGGTGACAGCATTGGGCTGAAGCGACCAGGGTTAGCACGAGAAGGTGGGATGGAGCATTTCCAACCCAGGGGATGGTGATAAAGCTGCAGTTCATCAGGATGACCTAAACTAGTGCAGGGGATGGAGATCTCAACCTGGCTCTGCCCTCGTGGGAGTGGGAAGCATCAATGAGAGGGGAAAAAAGCCCCTTTTGGGGCACTGCCAGCTTTAGGGCAGCAAAACCTGTTGCAAAGGGTACAGAGCAGGGTTCAGGCTTGGCACAGTGGGGTGATCAGGCTGGGAATCTCCCAGGTCCTTGTTGTGACTTGTGGTTCCTTGTCCTTATCCTGGAACTGCCTCTCCTGTGTCTCACATGCTTTCAGGAGAGCTGGGTGGGTGCCTGGGGCACGGGGCTGGTGCGAGGGTCTCTGTCATGGCGAGATGCAGATCCCCTCTGATGTGACCTGAGCACAGGTACCTGCCCAGAGACTGCTGGCACAGCAAGGCATCACACAGCACCTGAGTCAGGATCTGAGTGCAGATAACACATCTTTGGCCAATTTACAAAAAGCTGCTCCACATGGCACCCTCCCATTCCCTCCCAGGGGGCTGTGCCCCGCACCCATCCTGCTGTGGCACAGCACGAGCCGCCCTCACGAGCTCCCCGGATGAACAAATGATTAATAAACTGCACCACAGTGTCTGAGGTGGTTATTAATACCCTGGTAAAAAGAGCTACTGAAGTTATAAAGCTTTAATTTGGCATTAAGGCCGAGTGGAAACTCTACATGTCTGCCAACAGCTACACACACATCCCCATACAGACAGGCTGTTAATATATATGCCTATATAAAAACAAAGAATAAAATTAATTTGAAGAAAAAGCTGAAGCGCTTGCAGGAGAGGGAAAAAGGATGGTGGATTTGTTTGTTCAGGGGTTTTCAGGTTTTGCTGCCCTGTTTTGTCCCCCTCCTCAAATTTATTGGGACTTTCAGCCTACAGATAAAACCATCTTTTGTTATGTTTTTAAAACAAAATAAGGAACTGAGGAAAGAGACTCAATGCAGGCTCTAAAAATATATGAGCTGTTTCTTTATCCCCCTACTTGCTGTATCAGGGTATCATTGGCAGTGTGATGCCCTAGGGTGCAGACATGGGACCCGTGTGCCCGTGGGCTCTGCCAGCGTCTCCCTCGCTGGCCTCAACCAGAGCCCTCCGGGTGCCTGGTGGGTGCGCGCTGGTCCCAGGGACGTGGTGGTCCCCCTGCTTTTGGCACACTCGAAATGGCAGTGGCATTGAAACCGTCTGCCTCCGCTGCCTTTGAAATGGAGAATAAAGCTGCAGCTGGAGCGGAACGGGGCCCAACAGCCAGAGCTGGAAAATCCCACCCACAATGGAATAAAAAACATGGCCCAAGGCGCAGGGCGAGCACCACAACCTCCTACCCCTCACTGCAGCCCCTGGCGATGGCCGTGCCAGGGATGCTCTTGTCCTCTGAGGAGCCCCAATTACCCCAGCACAGTGGGATGGGGAGGTGGGGCCACCACAGGTGAGACCTGCAGTCCCTAGAAAGACTCAGCATCTTCACCTAAACCGAATTCCCTGCCAGGTGCAAAATTCCCCGGTGCTGGGAATTTGAGGCGTGATGCATCCGTCTGTGCTGCCCAGTTTGGGCTCATTTCAGGCAGCTCATTTCAGGCAGCTTGGGGTGAAAAACAGAGGTTTTAATTATTTGTGCAGAGGAGGAATAGAGGGGCTGTAGGGATGCAGGTCTGCTGGGGGCCTGGCAAACCCTCAAAAAATCCCGCCTAGATCTGGGACGTGGACTGAAGCAGGCACCCTGGAGTAGGGGGACAAGCAGGGCACGCCCCCAATGAGGACTTTGTGGAAGCAAATAGGGACAGGAACACCAAGAAGGATTTTTTGTTAAAAAAAAAATCTTCACTTGGTTTGAATATGAAACCCTTCATATAGCAGCAGCAGCTCAGAGCACCTGCAATGAGGCCACAGGCAACTTTTTGGATGCAGAAAATTCTCCTGCAGGAAAAACAGGCTGTCCTGACAGCAAACCTTCCCTTTCACGGGAAAATGTTGCTTACATTGACAAAAATGCTAAAAAATTAGTTTTTCAGAGGGTTTTATTTTAATTCACTTCATCATTTCTGATGGATACTTAGGAGCCAGAACTTCAGCATTCTAAAATTGGGATCTTTGCCAATCTTGGGATGGCTCCTCGGGTGCCGAGGAGGGTATTTATTCACTCTTCCCACACACACATTTTTTTTCCTTTTTTTTTTTAATATAATCCTGTAACCTTTCAGAATGTCTCCAACTTTGGAAAAATGACAGAGTGGAAAATTGATAATGTTTTCTTTTGTACTTTTGCTGCTGTGTAATCTTTCCAAAATTAGAGAAGTTTTGAAGTTACAGAATGGGGGGGGAAAAGATAGAAAAAAAAGATACTATACATGTGCAAGTGGGAAAGGCCCAGCAGTGTGTTCATGGTCTTGAGTTTGGGGGTGCAGGAGGAAAAAGAAATAGGAAATAAAACCCCCAGAAAAGTGAAATTCCTGGCAAGAGGCTGGGAAAGTTTTAAATGATGTGGTGTCTGCTGGATACTTCATGTTTTGGGTGTTTCCAGGAGAAGGAGGTGGGATTGATGGTTGGTCTGCACTGTTTGGGTGTTGGTTCCCACCCGTATGCCAGGGTGGGTGCCGAGGGTGCTGGATCCAGCAACTCTCCCCTTGGGATCACGGCTGGAAACATCAAGATGTGATTTATAACTTTGGGGGAAGACCTGAAGGGAGGTTCCTAATCACACGGGACCACGACCAGGATCGGCAGGTTCAGTAGATCTCTGGGTCAGCACTGGCTTTGTTGCTGCTGCGTCCCTGCACACATCACGGCCGGCACTTGATGTCCCCTCACGTCCCCCTGCTCCAGCACCACAACCTTCCACCGTCCTCCCAGGCTCCTATCCCTGGGCACCAGTGAGGGTGCGTGAGCTGGAGGTGAAGTCACTGCCAGTGCTGGACAGCCACGCTCAACTCCCTGAAGGGACAAGAGCCCACGGGAGCCCTGGCACAGGGAGGGCTGAGAGCAGCTCCCCGGGAATGCTGTGGGGTGCTGGGGTGGCCACAGCACGGAGGCACCGTGGCCAGTGCCAGTGCCAGTGCCATGCCATGCCAGCCGGGATCCTGGTGCCGGTCCCCGTGCGATCCCTCCGTCATCCCCACCGTGGTGGGTCAGCCTCCAGCCGGTGATTGATGGCCCAAGGGAGGCTGTGGTGGCCGCGGGCCATGGCTAATGTCAAATAACAAATATGAATGCGGGCTGTAAATATTTATACAATGCGCAGGCACGTGCTGCCTCCCTGGTGCAGAGACAAAGCTCTCCTACTCCCGGTCGGGTGACTCACATCTCCCGGCAAAGAACCGCCGAGGTGGCCGGGAGAGGGCTCTGGCCGGCGTTCCCGTGGCCGTGACCCCTGTCCTGCGGGGCTGTGGGCCTGCCTGCCACTTCCAGGGGTATTCTGTGGTTTGGGGGAGCTCCTGGAGCTCCTCTTGGGGCTGCTGAAAAGTAGGATTTAAAACAACTGAGATCTTTGCAGCCTCACACTCCTCCTGATGGGAGACTCTCAGGTCCCCTTTCCCTGATGAGATGCTCCCCATCCCTGTGAGAGGAGCTGGAGGCAAATCCCCAGCAGCAGCACTGGTGCTCCCCGTATGCCAATGGAGTTGGAGCAGGAAACCTGGGCTGCTCTGGGAGCCCTGCCCATACCTGATGGGTTGAGGGTGATGCTTAGTCCCCTCTTGCCCCCCAGCAGCCTGACCCTCTCCAGGCACTGGCAGTGAGGGCATCATGTCTCCCTTGCTGCCTCACCTGAGCAGCCTGTTTCTCATAAACCTCCACCCCATGTGCTTGAGGCTTCTCCATTTCCCAAAACCTCCCCTCCCGCTGCCTCCTGCAGCATGTGGACATCGCTGCTTGAGGCCATTGCCAGCACGTGGAGCTCTGGCTGTGATGTCTCGGGTACCACGGCGCTGCATCCCAGAGAAGGGGGTTGAGGGGCAAAGGGGGATGGAGGAGATGCAGGTTTTGTCTGTGTCCCCAAGGAAGCTTTGATGTTTTCCCCAGTTCTCCCTCCTCTTTTTGCTCCTGGCTCCCAGGGGGTAGAGGTCCCTGGCTCTCCCCTGGCGCTCCTCCCGCCTGTCCTCTTGCAGATGTCGATGAGTGCGTGGAGGGCACCGACAACTGCCACATTGATGCCATCTGCCAGAACACCCCCAAGTCCTACAAATGCATCTGCAAGTCCGGCTACACCGGTGACGGGAAGCACTGCAAAGGTAGGGACATGCCATTGCTGCTGGAGTGAGAGCCAGAGCTCTGCTGAGTAGTGACAGCCCTGGCAGGTCAGAGGCTGGGGGTGGCTCATCAGCACCGACTGTCCTTGCTGGTGGTGGTGACAGTCATTGTGTTTGCATGTCTGGGGCTTCCCAGTCCCAGCAGGGTCACCTGGGACTTGTTTTAAACAAAGCTAGGCTTCTTTTCTGGCAGGACTTTGAAGCTGCAGAACTGTGATAGCAGTTAAAACATGACAAACTTCAAAATAAGATATAGAAATACAGATATAGATGGTAGATATACATACAGGTATAGATGTAGATATATATGTAAATGTAGATATTGGTATAGATATAGGTATAGATCTATATATAAATGCATTTCAGTGGCAAATGGAAAGAATATGGGCTTCTTGGAAGAACAGCAGCAACAAAGCAGGAATGGTGCAGGGGGAAAAGTTCCCAGCTTTGCTAGAAGCAGGTCCAGGGTCAGGATGGGCCAAGTACAAACAGCAGAGGGATTAAAGCACTCCAGGAGCTGCTGGGCTTCACCATGGAGGTGGGCTGTGCTGCCTCCACCCTGGGAAATCCCATGGGGTTCCCAGTGTACTGCACTGCACCAAGGCTATAAGACAGTGTGTTAGCTGGGGGCCCAAGGTTTAGACTGGGGAGAAGGGGATGTTTTTGCATGGTCTGGAGGGGTTCTTGTAAGTGCTGTCGGAGCTGGGGACCTGCTGGAATAGGCAGAGAGAGCAGAAGACTCCAGGGCACAATATCAGCAAAGACATTGGAGGTGGGGAGCAGTACCCATGCGTTGGATTAGCCACCAGCCCCTGGGGCGGCCCTGCAGCTCTCCTGCCCTCCTTCTCCACAGATGTCGATGAATGCGAGCGGGAAGACAACGCGGGCTGCGTCCACGAGTGCGTGAACATCCCCGGCAACTACCGCTGCACCTGCTACGACGGCTTCCGCCTGGCGCACGATGGCCACAACTGCTTAGGTGAAGGGTGTCAGCTTGTCCCAGCCCCTCGGCAGCTTTGGCACCTTGGGACCAGCCTGCTGGCTTTCTCTACCAGGCACCTCCCGAGCCCTGACACCCCTAGGGCTGTTGCAGAGCCGGGGAAGCATGGTGGCACTCCCAGGGCAGTAAGCTAGCTGCAGATGTGTCCTGTACTACAATGGCTCGCTGGGGACAGCATTGCTCCCCATTACACAGGGATGATGCCAAGGGAGGATGCTCCATGCTTGGAGAAAAACTTGCTCCATGGGTCTATCCATAGACTGGGAGGGTTGGGTTTGGGGATGCTGGGTGCGAGCCACAGCCTCCCCACAGCCTCACCCTGCTGTGGTGACAGGCCGGGCTGGCAGTTCTACTCCGCTGCCGAAGGCAGGACCAGCCAGCAGGACTCACCCAGGCCCTGCCACTCGCTCTGCTCTTGCTTGAGGTCAGGCCTGCACCTGCCAAAACAGATGAGTTAATAGCAAATATGGTGGAGATGGGAACCAGCAAAGGGACTGCGTAAATAATACCTGGGCCAAGACAAACCCGGCATCTGCCTACGGAGCGGCTGTGCATCCTCCCTGCCACTTCCCACCGTCCCAAAGTCCATCCGGCCGCGGCAAAGCCAAAGCTCCCGTCAGAGCCCTGAGGTCCCTGGGGCTGCCCGCGCCCATCACCCGCTTCCTCCCGCAGCATCCACGGCGGGATCGCTGGGGCACGGGACCGCCCACCCTCCCTCCGCCTGGAGCTCTTACTATTTTCTAATTAGTGTCTGCACAGGGGTCATTAATGAGCTCATCACTTGGAAGAGAAGGGGGGGAAGGGATTATGGACACATACTTTTTGCATTAACCACCATCACCGAGATCTTTTCAGCCTCCTCAGGGAGGAGGGAGATTTACACAGCTGGGAGGAGGCGCGGGTGGGCGGCCTTGCCTTCCTCTCCCAGGGGAGAATGAGCCCAAGGAGAAGAAAGGAAAGCCGGACTCAGCGAGCCACAGACGTCATGTGTTTACAGAGTTGGGTGGGAGGGGATGGAGATGGCTGAGGAGCAGCGGGGGAAGCAGGGATTGGGAGTGGGGGGCAGCCCAGCTCCCACCTTGAGCCTTTACTCAGCTCATCCCAGCATCTCATTCCTGATCCTGACGTGCTTTGCCCAACCTGCCTGCATCCCCTCTTAGCCAAAAGAAAGAGAAGCAGAGCAAAGCACAGCATCATGCCCAGGCTTTGCTGCTGCCATGGGCAGGGGCTGAGCTGTAGAGGGGTCAGGGTGCATGCCCACAGGATCCCACCAGCCCCTCCATTTCCCACCCTGGGCGACCTTTTGAACCAGCCCAGGAATTTGAGCTGCTGTCCTGACATGGGCCCTGCTGGCTTCTGCCCATCTCCATTGCATTTAATAAAACAGGTATTAGAGCAGTGGAGTCTCGTTTCAGCCGTTGGGTTTGAACGGCTGCCTCCTCATTTTTGAGCGTAGCTGGAAGGAGAAGTTGTGAGACGTTAAGCCCTTGTTCTAAGCGGGGGGATTTGAGGAGAGTTATTGGCATCTGCAGGACATAGTTTGGCTGGGACAAGCCTGGAGGAAGCTGTGAGCCTCCTGCCTTGCAGAGGATGTCCCTTTGTGCCTGGCTGCAACACCTCCTTTCCAAGACAGTGGTTTTGTGGGGTGCTCCCTGGAAGTTCCAGCCGTAGCTGCAGCTCTGCTTCTGTTTCTGAGCATTCCCCCAGGGCTTGCCTGAGGCTGGGGCACAGTGCAAGGCACCCATACCCCTCAGGCATCCGTCTATCCATCCATCTCTTTGCCCAAGAGCAAGAGGTTTTGGTGCATGCCATGCTGCCTGGGGAGGAGGCTGGGGCTGGGGCTGGGGCTGGGGTTGGAAACCCCCCGATGTGTGTCGTCACTGAGCCGCTATTCCAGCGTTTCCGGTGGGCTCAGCTTTCCCCTCAGCCACAGCTCTGCAATGCTCGAGTTCACAGGACGTTTTCTTTGGCACGGGGCCCCTCGCAGAGGGGGCAAGGGGTGGCCACGGCAGAGGTTTGTCTCTGCCTGAGCCCGGCATCTGGTTGCTCTGGCACCTCAGGGCACTGGTGAGTTCAGCTCAGACCACTGTCCCCAAAAACCCTCTGGGGAGAGCAACAGGCTGTTGCTCTTCATTAAATGTGGGATTTGCAAGGCTGGAGCGGGAGTAGCCCGGGGCGAGGGCATTGCTGCTGCCACGGGGCCACATCTCCAGCCTCTTGCAGCCTTGGTTTGTTAAACCAAAACAGGTGTTAGGGCAGCCAAGCGGCTGGGGATGCGAGTCTCCTTACAAGTAATTATCCCTGCTCTGGGCTAAGGTTTCCCAGCTCTCCCTAATGAAGTGCAGGCATCCCCAGCTGGCGACAGGCTCGGAGGGGCTGGGAGCGGGGGCAGCCAGCATCCCAGATAAACATCCATGGTTCTCTGGGATGTCCCATCCGTGGTTATTTGGGGGTCCTGGGACAAGGAAAAAACCTTTCTCTGTATTCCCTTCTGTAAAACAAGGCTGGATCCTTCATGCCCATCAGTCAGGGAAGCAGTATGGTTCCTGCACCCACTCCTTGCTGTGCTTTGCCTTTGTCCCCTACAGCCCTCAAGCATCCCCCTTTCTTCTAGCTGGAGGATCACAGATGTGAACCAAAAGTAGTTTACTACCCAGCAGTTCTGTCCCACCTTGTGCCCATTGCCTCGGTGTGCCACGGAGCTTTGCTCACCCCCTGCCACCCTCCCTCTACAGACCTGGACGAGTGCTCGGAGGGCAACGGCGGGTGCCAGCAGACCTGTGTCAACATGATGGGCAGCTACGAGTGCTTCTGCCGAGAGGGCTTCTTCCTCAGTGACAACCAGCACACCTGCATCCAGCGCCCCGAAGGTCAGTGCACAGCGGCTCTGTGACCCAGGGCATCCTCCATCCCTGCATTTATGGAGGACATTAATCCTATGCCCAGAGCAGTTTATTAATAAGTGGAACCCGGAGGTCCTCATACCACCCTGCGAGACTCATCTTCTCCTGCCAGGTCTTGTACAGCACCAAGCCCTTTGACTTGGTATCAGCTCCAAATTGCTTAGCCAAAATAGAAGGAAATGAGAGATTTTTGCATTTCTGCTGATTTTTATCTCCACTGCTTGGCAAAGCAAGCTGAAGGTTTTTGCTTTCCTCCTTCCCCCTTCCCAGCTGTGTTGGTCACTCTGGCTCCCTGGGAATCGTGCCCAGCCCCAGATGGCTCAGCAGCTGCAGCGGCATTTCCCATGTCCCCATCCCTCTGTGTCTGAGAGGGATGACTTGGCTTCTTCTTCCTCCTGGTGCTGCAGTAGGTGACCCCACTGGGGAAAGGGGTGCAAGTGCTGTGTTTTGAGTCAATGGGATTTGAAGCCACCTTGAGGTGTGGGAGCAAGGTCTCATCCAAGGTGAGAGGAAATCAAAGGTTGAAGGCTCCTAGGTGGTTTTGTCTACCTTCTCAAGCAGCCATGTGTCAGGAGGAGCTGCCCGTTGAGGCTGCCCAGGGTTAAATTGTTCCCCCAAGGTCCTCACTGACAGGGTTTTCCCCTCATTGCTCCCATCATCCTGTCCCATCCCATCCCCTCTCAGACATGCTTCTGCCACTGCTGACCAGTGCCAGCAGCTTTTGGAGCATTTCTTTGCTTCCTTTTCTCTTTTAGAAGGAATGAACTGCATGAACAAGAACCACGGCTGTGCCCACATCTGCCGGGAGACCCCCAAGGGGGGCATCGCCTGTGAGTGCCGCCCTGGCTTTGAGCTCACCAAGAACCAGCGTGACTGCAAATGTAAGGAGCACTCCAGGGCTGGAGATACAGCCTCCTGGGGACCACTAACCCTGTCCTCATGATACAAACACCTCCTGTCCCTGCAGCAAAGCCCTGACCCCCTGGTAGCAATTGATTCATCAAACCTGAAGCCCAGCATGCCTCTGTTCCCTTATGGATGGTACTCCTGGCACTCCTCTCTGCCATGAGATGTTCTATCCTTACATGACCAGGCTGAAATAGCAGTTAAAGGGGTCCCAGAGGGACAGCATTCCCTGTCCCAGTGTTTCACTTTCTGAAGGGGAGGTGAACAGGGAGAATGTGATTGGCACGTGAGGAGTGCAGGAATCCTCTTCCTGGGGGTCATGGTGCTCCAGGCTCGTCTGATCTCCTGCCAGCATTCCACTGGCACTGCCAGGATTATTAAATAGATATATGTGTGTTTATGCAATTATTTTTATTTTGTTTCTCATTTGCTGTCTGCAGCAAACGTGTAAAATCGCTGATGAAATGGAGTTTTAATTCTAGGAGCCTATTTAATCTAAATGAACAGCACACCTTGCCCCCTGGGGAGGGCTGGGAGGGATTCCCAGAAGATCCTGAGTCATTCCAGAGCTCAGGAAAGTCTCACCCTTCCGCTGTAACACCAGATTCAGGGTCAGGGGCAACCAGCCCACGGGTCCCCTTTTGCGCAGTCTCCACTGAGTGGCATTTAGCAGATATGCAAAAGGAAGACATGAGAAACCACACAGCAGTTCGCATCTGCCAAGATCCCACAGGGAAAGTGAAAGGCTTTAGGAATTATCTGGGAGGGAGGGAAGTCTCCAAGGGTATGGATGAGATGTTTCCAAGCCTGCTTTATGCACCACATGGGGATGCCAGACAGGGAAGCAGGAGCTGGGGCCGTGCTGATGGCCGGTGCTTTGCCTCCACAGTGACCTGTAACTATGGGAACGGGGGTTGCCAACACACCTGCGATGACACGGACCAGGGACCCAAGTGTGGCTGCCACGTCAAGTTCCTGCTCCACTCCGACGGGGTGACGTGCATAGGTAGGTCAGACCACTGGCCACGGGGGCGTGGGGCAGGGTGCGGGATGGCTCGTCCTCCTCCCTGGATGGTTTGTCCTTGGCCTGCTGAAGGGTTTATCCCAAGCTTTGGGATTGTGATGTCTCTTTTTGCTGAGACTGGGGATGCTCAGTGTGTGTGTGAGGGGTGCTGTGGCACCTGCAGGTGCAGGGATATGTTGCTGCTCAACCACAAGGAGCAGAAGTGACCACAGGGATGCTTGAAGGGACATCTGGGGACAGGTCACTGTTCTGGGGTGTAGGCAGAGTCTCCCTCCTGCATCTGTGCTGTTGGAGGGAGAGCAGTGAGGATACTCCCATGCTAGAAATTATTAACTGTTGCTGTCACCAGCAGCTTTTGAGGAGAGACATGGAAGGGACAGATTTGGCCACAGCAATCTGTTCCAACTTGGCACTGTGTGACCTTGGCCCAGGAACAATTGTCTTGCAAAAAAAAACCAAAAAAACAACCAAAACCCCAACAACCTGACAACTCAACCACCTCAGAATTGTCCTTTTCCTGTGTGTGTTTTCAAATTGTAGAACATCAAACAGAGATAGAAGTTTTACTGGTTTCATATGCTTGTGCTGTTGAACAGCTGCTTTGATTTAAATAATGTTATATTTGGGGAGTGATTAAGTCCACAAATTGCTTGAGACATTTGAGTTCTTACTGCAAAATGAAAAAGAAAGCAAGAGAGGTTTTGGCTCCCCGTGTCCCTTCTGTGCCTGAACAGAAAACCTTCTGCACTTTCCACGGATGACTCAGTCCTCAGGGCAAATGGCAGTGGAGCCCCTGAACCCTGACTGCTCCTATCCAGCTTGGGGGCTGAGCCCCCTGCAGAGCCCTCCTTCCCATCAACTCTCTGCTGCCTTAATGTCACTGCTGTCCCCCAGCCCACTCCCAGGATGGATCCCAGTCCCTCCTGGCTGCTGGCAGGGGCTCGCAGCCCGTGGTCCCCCCAGAAGGTTGTTGCTGTTCCCAGATGGGCAGAGCTCCTCCAGCAGGGACTTTGGGACCCCAGGGTGCATCAGCTGGTGTGTTCCTCCTGGATGGAGAGCCCTGTGCGTGGTGTCTGTGTTGGTGCAAGGACTTGGCAGGTTTGGGACCAAGGATGCTCCTGACCTGCTGGGCGTGGCTGGGGGCGGCAGCTCTCCAAAGCATCCTTTAATTTGGGAGATGCTCGAGAGTCTGTTTACTGGGGGGATCTCTGCACTCATGTCCTGGGTACGACAGATGTGAGGGTGGGATTTGGGATTTTTCCAGAATCACTCATCCTCATGGCCTTGGTCAGAATCTCCCTCTTTGTCCTCACACCCTGCACCGTATCTGCTGGGGAGACATCTCCCACCAGAGACAGCACATCCCTGTGAACTCTCCCCTTGTCCACTTCCCAGGGCAAATCAAATACTGCACAGGAGGATTTTAGGAGCAGCATCAGCCCAAAGCCCACCACCACGCCTGTCTCATCCCTTTGGGGTCTGCAGTCCCCTCTTACAGGAAGGGACCTGCCCAGCTCCCACATTCCCTGGGGGATTCCTGGCCCCCATCCCCACTGTGGGAACACTGTGAGATTGTGCCCAGCAGCCCCACAGGGATGCCCAGGCAGGGGATTTCCAGCCAGGGTACCTGTTTGGATATTTATAACCACCTTTTCTTGTTTTATGGCTGGGGCTCAGCAAACAACCCTCCCCCATTCACAGTGCCCCCATCGCCGCCCCTTCCCCATTTCCTCAAAAATATTTCATCATTTCAAGGGGAATAAATTTTCCAGTGAGGGGAAACGCGAAGTCGTTCCCCAGGCCATGGGCTTTGAAATTGTACTCGGTGCGTTTGATGGGCTGCCGGGACAGGCCCCTGGTCCAGGTTCCCTTCAGATCACACCACGCGGCAGGAAGCACGATCAGCCCCTCTGAGTGACAGTTTCATTAGGCCACGGCTGGTGTTTTTCATTTTTCCGCTTTTTATTGCTGCTTTTAAAAATGCAGATAATGAATAACATGCCTCTGAGCAAAGGGGCCAGAGCTAATGGCTCCCAACATGTCTGCAGGCACAAGGGGGAAGGGGAGGCGGGAGGGGAGGCCAATGGCCTCATATATTTATATTTATGCTCCAAAAGCAGTCTTTAAAAAAAAAAAAGCACATGCTGAGGGTGCAGTGCCCATGGGGAGATGCAAACAACTGTCTTAGTTGATGCACATTTTGGCTTTGCTGGAAGATTTACCAGCCAGGGCATCGTTGCAGCTCCCCCCTGCTGATATCTGGGGTGCAGCAGGGCCATTGCTGGACCCCTACTCGTGGCGAGCACTGGTGGAGTGGGAGGGGGTGAGTGGGAAGGAAATATTATTAGATGGAGAGGGAAACTAAACCCAACTCAAGTTTTATGGCTGATTTCCTGACCCACACCCAGGCGGTTTGCGGCAGTACTGCTGATGTGCCCCAGCTCTGTGGATCCGGCAGTGTCAGGAGCGGTGCTGGGAGCAGAGTCTGCGCCAGTCCCACTGCCAGGTCAATGCTGGGTGCACCCACACACGGGTGAGGCTGAGCAGCCCAGAGTTTGGGTTCACTGCTGGCTTGGCTGCTAAATCCAAGGGGTGCAAGTGTCTCTGGTAGGACACAGTTCCCCTCCCGAGGCCCATGGCTGCACAGTGTCCACACAGCTCCTCTTGGGAATGGTCACCTGCCCTGGCACATGCTGAATTTGCTCCAACAAGGACGAGGACCCGGTTCCCCAGACTAACAGGCTGCACTAACGCTCCTCATAATACGCTTCTCCCTCTCGCATGGGGCTCCAGCCAGTCCAACGCAGTGTGTGAAACTGGAGCAGGTTTGGAGAGGCTGAGGGGCAGGGGATGCTTGGGACGGGGTGATAGAGGAGTCAATAGCACTGGACCCAAACCTCAGGGTTTGGCTCTTTTGAGAGGTGCAGGAGAAAAAACCTAAAAGGACAGTTTCCACCAGGCTGGAAAGGCAGCAGAATCAAACCCATTGACATGTGACACCAACCCAGTTCCTTGCTGGACACTGTTTCTAAATCACTTTTTTATAATGTTAAACAGGGGAGAGACACTTCCAGCAACACGTTATCCTTGAGACGTTTTCTAATGGTAAATATTTTTGTTCTCTCTATCTCTACAAAGGGGTCTAACTGTAGATGATCTCTCTTCCTGAGATCATAACAGGGCTCGGGGGGCTGAGCTGCCATGCTAACTGCATGTCTCACTAACCATGCCCCGCTGCTGCTTCCAAACCCTGCAGGGCCAGCCTGGCCCAGGCTGCCAGTTGGCTGGGCTGGGGGACAGAGCAGAAAACCCTCCCCTGGCTGTGCTTGCATGAGATGGGGGCTCTTGCACTGCTTTGATCAATCCAGCCTGGCCCAGGGGGTGACCAACCACTTTGCAGTGGCTGTGGTGGTTACCCCTCACCAACCAGGAGGAGCTCAGCTGGCAGACATGCAGTGGGATGGGGGGTGCTCGTGCCCATCTCTATGCTGTGCAGACCCAAAATTACCCCTTCCCAGAGCCCACCCACTCGCAGATAGTCCCCTCTGGGACATTCTGGGCGTCCCAGGGCTAGACCTCACAAGGCTGCTCGCCATGCCCAGAGGCTCCCAGCCCGGAGCTGCAGCAGTGGCAGAGCTGCAATGGCCCTTTACATGGCCGGGCACCTCTCCAGGGGTTTCTTTGCATCCCTGTGGGGTCTCCAAGTCCTTCAAAAAGGTAAGGTGACACCTCTGCTCTGCCACCAAGAAAACTGAGGCAGAAGGGGAAGCAACTTGTCTGTGGTGGAGAATCTTGTTCCTGGACGTGTTGGGCACAAGCAAACTCCTGGCACATCCAGAATGAGCTGTGGGAGTGCATCTCACCAGCGCAGGGAGCACTGACTCCAGCTTTCGGGATCTCTGAAGAGCCTTTCCCACAGGGGTGGGAGAAGGAAGGGACTCCAGATCCACTCAGTCACTGCACTTCAGCCAGCCCAGCTGTAATCCCTCCAATTACCATGGAATTATCCCCTCAGCCTCCTGGGATCACATCCCAGAAGGTGGAGGTGAGGCTGTACTGTGTGCAGTCGGGGCTCTGCAGTGTTGGGTGGCAGAGGGAGGGTGCTGAGCAGGGCAAGGAGCGCCATGGCACAGCAGCTGGGAAGTGAGACCACAGATGAGATGGAGTGTGAAGCTGTTTTGTTCTCTGGCTCAGCTCCCACGCAATGCCCACCCCAGGCAGTGGCCCTGGGATGGTGGGTGAGACTGGCTTCATATCTGGGCCAAAAAGTCCAAAGGTGCAAAGGGGCCACGAGGGCATACAGGTGCCACAATGCTGGAGGAGGCTGTGAGCACCGTGAAATTTGCCCAGGGCACTGCACCCTCTGGAGAGCCCCGTCCTCCCTGGTGCAGCTGCTTCCCCAGTGCTGCTGAAAGCAGTGCCTGAGCAGAGCCCATCGTCTCATCTCGGCAGTGACCCCGTTAAATCAATCCTCCCCAGGCTGCTTCTGCATCAGCTGCTGAAACAAAGGCTGGCGTTTAATAATTCACCGGGCTTCCAGAAAGTTTCCCTTCCCTTGGGTGCGGTGTCACCTGCCCTGTGCTCCTCTCCCCAGCGCCGCAGGGAGAGGACAGCCCTGCCACGGCCGGGCTGCGTGCAGCGCCAAGACCTGGCTGAAGGAATAATATCCGCAGAAATCCCTCCCTTGCCGTTAGGTTTTGTAATTGTGCTGGCGATTAATTTCATAAAATGGTCTCTTTTGTTCTCTTATTATGGGACATCATAAAAATAGCAGTGGCAAGACGAGCACAGAACGATCCCAGCTCCCCAGCCCTGCGGCGAATGGTTGGACGGTTCTGTCATTCGCACCCCATGCGGCGCTTGCAAAGAGCAGGAGAACCTGGGATTTGCTCTTTCCAAGGAATTTCTTCAAGGCATTTTTGTCTTGGGTTCCTTGAAGCCCAAATGCCTCATTTATCCAAGCAACCAGCCTTCTGAAAGGAATATTTTATTATCCTTTGTGAACAACTTAATGCACTTCAAACCATTGTTCTAGTGGTTAGGGTCGAAATTGAGGATTGATCTCACAGGGAAGCTGTCAAGCTGAAAATGTTTCATTTAAATTAGTGTCCCTTCTAGTCCTACCAGCAACAGCTGACTTTGATAATACTGAAATAATTAGCTTTTTTTTCAGTTGGATTTTTTTTCCACTGATGCTGCCTGCCTCTGAGTGTATGTTCTAATTATACAAAGTGTCTCCCAAATTAGCCTGCAACACTGGACCAGCCGCCGTGCCCAAGCAGCGAGTGACAGTCAGGGACCAGCAGCATGGGGTCACCTGTAGCTTTGTGGTTCAGTAGCTTGATGGCAGCGAGGGGGCTGGGACCTCCCACCACCTCACTGGGGGACTGGGGCTGCACACCTGCATCCCTGGGGAGCTGCAGCCTGGGCACCCCTGTCGAGGCCTGGCTCTGGCTGCACTTGCACAGATGCTATGACTTTTTCCCCTGGAAATTCAATTCCTCCTCATTGGAGCTGCCGAAGCCAGCCTCCAGGAGACCCTGTTTGTGGGGGACACGCAGTCCCCATGACTGTGTTCATTAATTCAGGGCTCTGTGAGCTTGTTACTGAGTGAGAAGCCCAGGGCTCTGCAGGGAGGTTTGTATCTGCTGCTCCTTCTAGGCTGTGGCATGAGGGATATCTGGATGCTGTGACCCCCCCAGCCTTTCGAACACCAGTCCTTAATCTCAGCCTTTCTCTCCCCTCCCCATGCAGAGACGTGTGCTGTGAACAACGGGGGCTGTGACAGCAAGTGTCACGATGCGGCCACGGGCGTCCACTGCAGCTGCCCCATGGGCTTCATGCTCCAACCCGACAGGAAGACCTGCAAAGGTGGGTGGGCACTTGGACGTCTTACTGCAGGCACCTTGCATAGCCCTGCTCCTCTGGAGAGGCTGTAGAGAGGAGGAAAAGGAGGTGATGGCATGGCCCTTGTGGGGCTGGAGTGCCCTGTCCCATCTCACTCCACCCCAGTGGTTCAGCTGCCCCGGGGTAGATCTGGGTGTGCAGGGAATCAACACCTGCTCTGACAGTTTGAGATGCATGAGTTCCTCTGGGGTCACTGCCCAGCCAGGTCTGAGCACAGTTGTCCCACTTGGGGGAGAATATTCTGAGATGCAGCACATCCCACTGACATCCCCAACCACCTCCCCCACAAGGCAGGGCAGTCAAGGCTGATTATTCCAGCACCACAGACTTGTCCCCCTTGGGGGTGCCCAGTGCCTGTGTTGTGTCTTTTGGCAGCTCCAGGAACTTGATCCTGGCTGAAGGGAAAGCTTGTCTTGCTGCTGCTGCCTATCTACCTGCTGACTGCTTCCAGAACCCCCTGCCCTGGGTATTTTATCAGAGCAGCCCCCCCTCTCCAATTCTGCAGTTTCCAGGAACATGCAATAACCCAGAGCCACGGCCCCTGTGTCTGGGGTTTTACTGTGGCTGCGGGTGGGTTTACAGCTCACTCCCTCGCAGTCATAAAAAAGAAAACCTCAGCCCCACTGAGGCAGAGCTGTTACCCCAGCGCTGGAGGATGGAGGGACAGGGCAGGTCACTTCCTCTTCCTGGTCTCCTTCCATTTTACAAGTCATTTCCTAGCAGTAAATTTTGTGATTAGTGGCAAAATTAGAAAGACAACTGAAACAACAGCCTCATTCCAGGTTGTTGGGGCTCTTTGCAATTATTGTGTGTCGTCCTTTTTAGCTTTGGCTTTCGTGGCAGGAAGGTGATGGCAAGCAGAGAGGCCAGGGCTGAAAAGTAGTTATTTTGTCACGTGGCTGTTTTTGAAAGAGAGGTTTTCCCTTCTGGATTTTCTCTCTCTTCCTGTTGCTCCTGGTCCCCCAAAGCAGCCCCCAGCCCAAACTCATGACTCTGCAAATTCTGGTCTGGTGCTCTCCCTCAGCTGCAAGGCTCTTTCAGAGACTCTGGATCCCAGCTCTGCTCCAGGGGATGCTGAGACCTGTAGAAATTAGTTGTGTTGCACCACTTTCAAGAAGAGCTGAGCCCAGAGTCCTGCCAGTGTCACACACTGGCTCCCCAGATGCACCCAGAGAAAACCAGCACCCATATTTACCCTGGTGACCATCAGAGCCCCAAGGGGTTTCCTCTGCTTACCAGCTCTGGAGGGGAGCACCCATCTCTCCTGGGCAAGCATCCCAGACAGGGTGTGACGGGTGTCCCTTGTCCCTACCAGACATCGACGAGTGCCGGCTCAACAATGGTGGCTGTGACCACATCTGCAGGAACACCGTGGGCAGCTTTGAGTGCAGCTGCAAGAAGGGCTACAAGCTGCTCATCAATGAGAGGAACTGCCAAGGTAAGGGACAGGGGGCCCCTAGCACCCTGCCCTGTCCGGGGATGGCACCTCTGCCCCGTGTCTCACAGCCCTCCCACGGCTGCTGCTGGAGGAGTGCTGCTCCGGTTACTCGTTCCTCTGGACCATGTACATCCTTTGGGGGATTAGTGCCGGATTTGGGTTCTGGTCTGGGGCTTAGCCCTTTGATCTCAGAGCTGGGGACTTGTGGGCTCTTCTCGCGGCAGAGCTAAAGCTGGCAATTAGACACATGCCAGGCTTCCTGCTATTTGGAGGGCAGGAGTTGGGGGGAGATGCCTCCTGTTCATTCCGGAGGGAGCTGGCTGCTCCATGCTGTTTCTTCCACCTTTTTCTCTCTGTCTCGACATCCTTCTGCACATTCCACATAAACATAGCAGGTTTAAATGGCCCAGCAGGTCCCTGGGCTGTCCTGGTAGGAATGTGGAGCCGTTTGGCCCATTTGAGGTGCAGAGGGGCTGCAGCAGCTTGCAGCAAGGGGATGCTGGGGTACTGGATGAGGAGGAAGCTTGGAGGCAGTCAGGGTGGGAGCACAGGGTCCTGTAGCATAGTGGTGCTCTATCCCCAGAGCAATCTGGTTCTGGATCCTTGGAGCATCCCAGTGCAGGGTCTCGTAGCATCGCAGTGCAGCTCCAGCTTGCTGGAGCAATTGGAGCAGGAAGGGGACAGCCCTTGTGTCATGAATGGCCTGTCCTCTGCACCAGCCCTTACCTCCTCCCCTTGCTTTCCTCCAGACATCGACGAGTGCTCCTTTGACCGGACCTGTGACCACCTCTGCATCAACACTCCCGGCAGCTTCCAGTGCCTCTGTCACAAGGGCTACACGCTGTATGGGCTCACGCACTGTGGAGGTAGGGTCAGCTGGGGGCTGGCAGCAGCAGCAGCCTGGGGCCCCACAGGGTTCGGGTCCCAAGGAGGCACATGGGACCCCCAGGGGTGGGACAGCCCCAGGGTACGGCTGCTGTGGCACCCCTGGGGATAGTGTTCACCCCAAGGGCCCGTAGAAAGGGTTGGTTCCACACATACCCTGGGCTGAGGCCAGGCAGGGAGGGGGCTCACAGCCAGACAAGCTGGTGTCTGCAACTTCAAACAGAGCGACAGGAACAATTTGCGACTTGTCTGCAGCAGGAGAGAGGGAGAAATCCCCGGCGTTTTTGGCAGGGAGCTGGGACAGGGTGGGAAGGGAAACATCAAAAGGATTTGATTTAAATTTCACAAGGCAGATAGCTCCCAAGGGCGGGGGCGTGCGGCGCCCGGGAAGCGAGGAGGCAGATGAAACATGCTTTGGAGGGGTTGCAGGAGCGTGTCGTGGCAGTGGTGCCTGCAGCCCAGGATGACGGCAGCAGGAGGCCGGGTGCTCTGATGCCTCTGGCTGGTTAGGGCAAGCACCCTTCTCATAGTCCCAAAATATGCAGCCAGCATGAGCCAGCACAGCCCCCAGATCCTTTCAGGGTGACCCTGCAGCAGAGGATTTGATGGCTTCCACCAGTGCACCCAGAGGGGGGGAGATGAGCTGGGAGGGCTGTGGGGGGCAGCTCTATCCCTGCCATGCTTCATGCCAGACCTGAATCATAAACACCCTGTTTCAGGCCAGGGCAGAGGGTACCTTCTGAGAAGAGAGGCCAGGGCTACTGAGCAGCTGCCTTTGAATTCGGCTCCCACGTGTTTCCACATCAGCACTGTCTGCTGTCTCCCCTGCAGCTCCTCAGCCCACCAGGGGCTAGAGCTGAACTCAGCCTGGATGGGCTGCACCCATCACCACTCAGCCCTTGGGGACACCAGGAGCCGGGGTGTCCCTCATTCCCACAGAGCTGGCATGGCTGGAAGTGCCCTGTGGTGCAGATGCCCTGTCCCAGTGTCAGAGCCAGGAGTCTCACTGACCCTCACTCCCTGCCTCTCCCTTCCTTCCCCAGACATTGACGAATGCAGCATCAACCGGGGTGGCTGCAAATTCGGCTGCATCAACACACCTGGCAGCTATCAGTGTACCTGTCCCACTGGCTGCAAGCTGCACTGGAACAAGAAGGACTGTGTCGGTATGTCAGGCCAGGAGCCACCGCAGCTGGTGGAGGAGTTGGAGGATTTGAGATGCCAGGCTGGCATCCCTATGCTATGCTCTGGAACCCTCTCCTCCCCACTGAATCCCCCCATGAGCTGGGAGGGTGCAGGGGTCTCTCGTGGGTCCCTGGGCTGTGCCAGCCACAGGTGTCCCTGATTGTCATCACCAGCCGGCGCGTGTCCCACGGAGCTGGTGAAATGCCTGCCAGGTTCGGTGCCACCACGGGCCACCCTCACCTGCAACAAGACAGGCAAGAAGGATAGCTGTGCCCTCTCCTGCACCTCCAAGGCACGATTTCTGCCAGGTACCAGTGGTAGTGCCATGGCCAGCTTGGGCAGAGGGGTCCCCATTTCCCTGCATGGCCTAAAGTCAGGGGAGGGAGAATGGCTGCACAGCTGGGGTGCAGAGAACCCAAGCAGTGTCCGGGTGAGGGAGGGAAGTTTTTGCTCAGGAGGGCTCGTCACTGGGTGTAGACCCATGGGATGGGTCCCTGGTGCAGGATCCCCATGGCAGGGTGCTAGGCATTGTCCCCCCCCAGCACAGCCATGCCTCCCTGCATCACCCTGGCAGAGCATCACGGGAACCGGGCAGTTGCTCTGGCATCCACCAATTCCCCTTCCTCCTCCACAGAATCTGACAGCAGCTACACGGTGAGCTGTGGGACCCCCATCCTGCGGCAGGGTAGCCAGCACAGACCCACAAACAGCAGCCAGCAGTGCCTCGGTAAGGGGGCTCCTGAGGTGCCCATGGTCACCAGCCGGGCTGGGCTGTGCCACGTTGCTGAGCAACTGCCTTTTCTTTTAGAGACTGTCACTGCACCAGTCAAGCAGAAGGCCTCCTTCAAGATCAAGGATGCCAAATGTCACCTGCACCCACGGGCCAAGGGCAAGCAGGATGAGGCTGGGAAGGCTGGGGCACAAGGTGAGTTGTGATGGCAGGGGGCCAGTGGGGGTGCCTGTTCCCCCAGCAGGGATGGGGTTCTGACCTGTTCCTCCCCGTGCAGGTGGTTCGGCACCTTGCTCTGACTGCCAGGTCACCTTTGTCAACCTCAAGTGCGACTCAAGCAAGAAGGGGAAGGGCCGCCGGGCTCGCAACTCACCCAACAAAGAGGTGACACGCATCACGTTGGAGTTCGAGGCGGAGATCAAGCAAGAGGAGATCACAGGTGGGCACAGCACTGGCCTGGTCTGTCTCAGGTGCAGGCAGCAGTGGTGGGACCACAGGGACAGTAGTGGGACCAGGGACACAATACCATCCCTGTGCAGCAAGGAGAGACAGACTAGTCATCATCCTTCACTGGACTGGGAAGTACTGGGCAGCGTTTCCAACTGAGCATGGCGGGGAATGCTTTTAATCCTTTTGGGTTTCCCTCTCCATCCCTCCCTTCTTACTGCATCCTTGTTTCCCCCTGCACCCCTATTTCCTTCTGCTTCCCCAGCCAGCTGCAACCTGCAGTGCCTGCGACAGAGAGTGGAGAAAAAACTGAAGTCGGCCATCAAAGCCCTGAAGAAATCCATCAACCAGGAGCGGTTCCTGCTCCGCTTCGCAGGGATGGAGTACGAGGTGGCGCGGAAGCTGAGCGTGGCCCCGGAGCGGCAGGAGAGCTGCGGGCCGGGCCAGCAGCGCCTGGCTGGCAAGTGTGGTAAGGAGCAGGAAGGTGGTGTCTGGGGGCCCCCAGCGGTGACAACCCCCACAGCATCACCGATGTCCCCCCCCGGCTCTCAGTCAGCTGCTCGCAGGGAACCTATTACAATGGGCAGACGGAGCAGTGTGTGCCCTGTCCCCCCGGCACCTACCAGGAGAAGGAGGGGCAGCTTTCCTGTGACCTGTGTCCCCGCGGCGACACATTCGGACCCGTAGGAGCCACCAACATCACCAGCTGCACAGGTAAGGAGAGCATGGAGTGGGACTGGAGGCACACTTGGGGAACGTCCAAGGCTGCAATCTCAACCATCAGCCAGAAGAGGGGGAAGCCCTAAGCATTGCCAGAGCCCACAGAAGTTGCTCCTTTGGGAGTTAATAATTTTGAGGGGACCTTAGGAAGGGCAGCACTTGCTCAGGATATACTAGTCCTGCCAAGGCTGTGGGGGAGAGGATTTGGACATGGGGCAGGAGAGCTCTGGGCATATGGGGTGCCAGGACTGAGCGATGCCTGTGCCCACAGGTCAGTGTCCCCCTGGCCAGCACTCTGTTGATGGCTTCAAGCCCTGCCAGCTGTGTCCCCGTGGGTCCTACCAGCCCGAAGTGGGACGGGCGCTCTGCTTCCCTTGTGGTGGGGGGCTGACCACCCGCCACGAGGGAGCCCTCTCCTTCCAGGACTGCGACACCAAAGGTAGGTCAGAGCTGGTCCCTCGGGAGGGGCACCCAGAGGGGTTGTGCTGGCAGCTGAAACAGCCCCTTTGCTCTCTGACCCCACAGTCCAGTGCTCCCCTGGGCACTACTACAACACAAGTGTCCACCGCTGCATCCGCTGCACTGTGGGCACCTACCAGCCCGATTTCCGGCAGAATTACTGTATTGCCTGTCCTGGCAACACCACCACTGACTTCGATGGCTCCACCTCTGTGTCCCAGTGCAAAAGTAGGCGAGCTGGGGTGCAGTGGTGGGTGGGAGAGGGAGCGGGGTGTTAGGCATGGAGTCCTTCCTATCTATATTTTATCTATATTTAAAAATTCTGTAAAATAGAGCTATAGAGTTTGGGGTCATTTCAGTGCTTTCTGCATGCAGGCAGGCATGGGGGGATGCATGGAGCAGTGCTAATGGAATACACCCAGTAAACCACCCAGAGGGGAACACTCCACCCCCAGTGCCCGTGGTACTGATTCCCAGTGGAACCGGCTCTCCCCCATGCCTTGCAGACCGGCAGTGTGGAGGGGAGCTGGGTGAGTACACAGGCTACATCGAGTCTCCAAACTACCCGGGGAATTACCCTGCCAATGTCGAGTGCACCTGGAACATCAACCCGCCACCCAAGCGCAAGATCCTCATCGTGGTGCCAGAGATCTTCCTCCCCTCTGAGGACGAGTGTGGCGACGTCTTGGTCATGCGGAAAAACTGTAGGTAACCGAGCAGGCCACGGTGCTCACAGGAGGAGCTGAGGGAGGAAAAGTTCAGGGTTTGGCACAGCTGCCTTGTGCAAAGGGAGAAAGCCACATCCCCGGCCAGCAGGAGAGGAATTTTAGGAACTGACTGGAGAGATCAGCATCACCCTACCAGCCTGGTGTCTTGCTGGATCAGGGGGATGTTGATGGACTGGGCTGCACACCTGGGTCTCAACATTATTTTTTATGGGTAAAAACCCCATTTGGAGATTTCCAGAGCAAGGAAGGAATAACAACATCCCTAGTATGTAACATGAGGGTTAGGGGGGGGCTCAGCCTTGCCCAACACACAATCCCCATCCCTGGTGCTGCCCTTCACCCTGAGCCTTTTAGCCCAGCTGGGGGTAGGTCCACTGATGGGCAACTGGCATCCCGTGTCCCTTGCCATTCCCTGCAGCCTCCCCATCCTCTATCACCACCTACGAGACGTGCCAGACCTATGAGAGGCCCATCGCCTTCACCGCCCGCTCCAGGAAACTGTGGATCAACTTCAAAACCAGTGAAGCCAACAGCGCCCGGGGCTTCCAGATCCCTTATGTCACCTATGACGGTGAGCACAGGGCACAGAAGACACTACTTTGGCAGGCTGATGCTGCCCTGCCCAGTTTGGGACCCAGGTCACCCCCAGTTGACACCTCCTGTGTGTTTTGGGGGGATTGGACTCAGGGATGGGAACCGGATGCTTGGACACAAGTGGCAGCTCATGCCCTGACTGTGTTTTTTTGGCTGGCTGTTGCAGAGGACTATGAGCAGCTGGTAGAGGACATTGTGCGGGATGGAAGACTCTACGCCTCTGAAAACCACCAGGAGATCCTCAAGGTGAGCGTGTGCCCCCATGTCCATGCTACCCAGGGCTGCAGGGGATGCAGGAACATCCTTCCCTTCAGGGGTGCCTCATGCTCTCCCTGCACTCAGGGGTTCAGTTTGGAGCCGCTGCAGGGGAGCACAAGGCAGGGTGGTGAACCTCCCTCTGGCTCGGCTTCCCCGCAGGACAAGAAGCTCATCAAAGCTTTCTTCGATGTGCTGGCACACCCCCAGAACTACTTCAAGTACACTGAGAAGCACAAGGAGATGCTGCCCCGCTCCTTCATCAAACTCCTCCGCTCCAAAGTCTCAAGCTTCCTTCGGCCTTACAAATAGCCCCTCCGTGCCCCCGCTGTCCCGGGCCGCCCCGCAGCCAAGGAAACCCTCTTCTCCCTTCCTTCTCCTTTCCGATTTTTCCTTCCTACACCCGGCTCTGGCAGGATCACCACCGCTCGTCCCGCAAGACATCTCCCCATGATTTCCCCGCCGCTCCCTGCAGAGCAGTGCTCCCAGCCTTGGGGATGCTCTGGCCTCATCCAGCTGGGGATGAAGCCACTCCCCTTTTTCAAAGCAGCTTCTTCGTTTTAGGAACTGAAGTACTGATCCTTTCACTGTCCTCTGTCCTGCCTTTGGTTTCCTTTTCGCCAGGCCTGTCCACATTCCCTGGTGCCACTGGCAGCCCAGGACACTGAGGGGGTCATTGTCCTTCCAGCCCTTGGGGTTGGTGCCAGCTGCAGCCCCACAGAGAGCCCTTGGCAGAGGAGTGCAGGAGGTGACACCATGTTCACCACAGCGCTGGGCCATGGGCATCGGTGCTGCTTTGCAGAGGTCAGGGGAAAGACAACTGACAAAGCCAACTTGATTAAAAAGGAAATGTAAAGGAGAGATGGCAAAGCCCACCAGCGTGGCAGCGTGGTGGCTCCGTGGCCATCCCACTGGAGAGCCGGGCTGGCACTGGGAGGGAAGCGCAGCCAAGCCACGTTCCCAGAGAACAATGTCTGGCTGCACAGGAGAAAACAGGGAGCAAAGGAGAAGGACTTTCAGCTGGGTTCGATTTTTTTTTTCCCCCCCAACTCCAGACACTTGTGCCAAGAAACCAGACTTTGTTACAAGCTCGGCCAAAGAGTAACTCGGAAAAGCAAGCTTTGAGAAGAGCAGGAGTCAATGTTTGTGCACTAGGATATACTCCTTTCTACCTTTCTCATATGTATTAAGTGCAATCATTTGAATCTTCTTTATATTATTTAGAGGGAAGTTGTTTTTGTTTTTTTTTCTACTAGAAACGACAATATTTATACCTGCCTGAGAAATGAGAATGTGCATTTGCAAGAAAACTAAAACCACCCACCTAGAGCAAGCCCGGCCCTGGGCTGCACTGACCGGCATGATGGCGTCTTCAAAGCTTTTCTGCCACATTTGTCCCCAGTAAAAGCCCCTGTTCTGGGGGGAGATGGTGTCTCCTGCTCAGCGCAATGGGGTGAGTTTTTGCAGGGAGTTTGAGGCGTCTTGATCCGTTCACAGGGGGTGGAGCAGCTGGGTTGGCCGTGCCCTTTCACGCTCATCTGCCACGGTTTGGGTGTTGTTCAAGCCTCATTGTGAGTGGGATCAAAACTCGGCCCATCATCTGCTTGTTGCAAACTGATCTGCTTTCCTGCAGGGGCTCATGGACAAGCCAAGACCCTGGAAGACTGGATGGCAGCTCCTAAGGCCAGGTCTGGGGGGCACACTGGGAGGAGAGGGGAGCTGCCCTTCCACTCAGCCCCTAAATCTTTCCCCCAGGTATGGAGAGACCCGGAGGCAGAGCCACCCTCCCGCCTCTGGGCAGGCTTTGTGCTTCCAAATCTCTCTTCCAAGGTGCTTTTGGCTCCGTCCTTCTGCATGTGCTCGTCCCACAGGCATGCTGTGGGAGCCCCTCCCCAGGGAATGGGGTGCAGATCCTGGGAAAGACCCATCCTGCCACCTGCTGTTTTACTGCCACCTGCCTGTCCCCTGCTTTGCAGAAAGGCTTGGCTCGGGACGAGAGCCAGGTGGACACCACTGGTGGGTTTGACCACCAGCATCTTCATCCAGACAGGACCCCCAAGGACAGGTGACTGCTGCAGTCATCCCTCCTCGTCCTCCCCAAGCCTCCCTCCCTTTCCAGCCCTGCCACCAGCTCTCAGCTGTCACCTTCCTGTGCCTTCATCCCCATCTTCAACCTCTCAAAAACCTGGAGTTGCCAGGACTAAACATGGTCAACTTGTCTACAGCTCTGCCAGAGGCAGGTCCCCTCCCACCCTTGTCCCCGCTCGTCCCTCCCCATCCCTTTGCCCACACCTGGGCCCATGTGCCAAGCCCTGCTTTTAACAAACCAATTATTTATTGCTCTGCGTATCCCACTGGGTCTGTCTTTCCTGAATCTGGGAGGCAGCTGCTTATCCCTGTTTTCCCTCCTTGATCCACACTGCTCCAGCACTCCAAGAGCCTCTCTCAGGCTCCGTGAGGGGCTGCTGGCAGGGTGAGCACTGGCACAGGGGCTGAGGTTTGTCCCCGGGATGCATCAGTTAGAAAAGTCTGTCCTGATTCATCCCAGCTGTGGATTTTCCCCTCCTGCCGCCGGCTCCCAGCCTGTTTGGAAGCTCCACATCTGTGGGCCGAGCTGTTTGCCACTTGGTCGCTGTCTGAAAGCAGCTGCTTTGATGCACAAAAGCTGCTGCAGGGATCTGGAGGGGTTGTGTGGCTCTGGAACAGTCGTGCGAGGCAGTGACCCTTGAAAGGGTCCTTCATATTCAGAAGAAAAAAAAAACAACAGCAAAAATACAACAAGCCTGGGAATGACCAAACCCACGGTGATGCCACAGTGCATAGCAGCCCTTCATGTCCAGCAAAGGGTTAACTCTAACGTGGGCTTCGCTGTCCCACTGACCCTGTGGGGCACCAGGGCCACAGAGCATCCCAGTTGTCACCCTTGTCACAACCACCACCTCTGCTCCCCTAAAGCAGTTCTGGAAGGATGAGGTGGAAAACACGTCCTCCTGTAATGGCACCTCTTCCTCCTCCTTTCACCAAATAGCTCAAAAACCCCCCAAAAAGTCCACGAGGCCCTCAGAGTCACCCACCCCAATGTGGCTCAGCCCCACTCCCCATCCACTCCCACCTCAGAAAGGGTTTCAAAGGCTGAAACCCCCACCAGCCACCTAAGGGATGAACTGAATGTTTCGACGTGAACAGAAATTAGGGTTGTTGGGCTTTTGTTTTTTTTTTTTTTTTTTTCCATGTTGGAGTATTTATATCTGGCTTTTGCAGCAGGCCAGGACTTGCCATCTCCAGCAAAAATTATTAAAGTGATGAGCAAGATGTAGTTCATGAAGTTATTTGCACTTGATTAAAAGAAAAATGTATTTGAACTTTGTAAAAAGAAATGTTTGCATTTTGTATTGTCTTTTTTTAATTATTAAATGGAATTTCTTGGTGTCGTGTTGATCTTAAAAAAAACTGGCTTTGATGCTTATTTGAAAGGTTTTTAACAGCAGGATCCAGAGCTATTTTCATTGTTTTGTTCCCTCAGATGCTGACAAGCTTTTCCAGGGCCCGGGGTATTTTTTTTCCCTGTTCAGCCTTCCCTAAGCTCACTAGTCCCAGCATAATATATTTATTTATGCCCATTACTTAGATGCAACAAATCTGATTTTTAGCCCAGGAGTTGGACATAGGCTGCCTCAAAGGGAAGAGAAGATGGCACACACACTGTACCCTTGGCCCCAGCCCCCTTGCTGGGCTGCAGCTCCATCGCTGGCATCCCTGGGACAGCTCGATGACGCACATCAAGTCCTCACACACTGCACCTTGGGCAGAATCCCCCTGCCCCAGATTGGAGCACCAGAAGCCTTTAAAAGCTGGTGCCCCCCTCAGATTAAGGGTGGGCTCTGCAGCAGGAGGGCCTCAGGTAAGCACTCTGGGGGCACAGGGGGACCTGGGGCCCATAGTTTAACTGTTGAAACTCCACAGGCCCCCAGCACACCTCTGATCAGTCTGGGGCAAGTGGAGCCGTTCCCCGTCCCTGCTCTGAATGCAGAGATGAGGCCCCTTCCCTCAAAAGCTCCATATACCGCTTGGAATTCACATCCCTATCAACTCAAAGCAGCATCTGAGATGTGCCTCACCACAGCTCACTGGCAAACCCACCCCAAGGAGCTCTGGAGTGACAGAACCACACATGGCCATGGGTGCCCACAGAGTTTATTGCTGCGCCCTTAGTAGAGGCGCTGGGGCTTCCCCATGGTGCTCTTGATGTACAGAGCTCGCACATTCTGCCAGTTCTTCTTCAGCAGGGACACCAGGAAGTTGATGGCCAGGTGGATGTTGTAGACAAGTTCATCCTCTGTCATCTTCACGTGGCCGACAGCCACAGCCAGACAGAGCACCTGTGGGCACACACCAGGTACACGTTTCACAGGCAAAGCAAAGGTGCTGACCTCAACTCACCTGTGTGCTGGACTGTCCCACGGTCTGTCAGCTGGACACAGCTTCCCCAGCCCACCCATGGGGTTTTCCAGGGCCTGCTGCACCTCGCCTGTGGCTCCCTGTGCCTTTAGCCCCCAGATGCCACCTCTAAAGCACACAGAGGTAACTGGGAGAAGGTGGGAACACCTTCTCCACTGCCAAGCCCTACATCAGCTTCACTTTGTTTTGGGCACCAAGCACCAGTGGCAGAGTTGTCGGCCTGCCTCCACCTGCCTGCCCAGCCTCCCCGAGCAGCCTGGAACTCAATGCTCCCTGCAGGCTGGAGACAGAATTTATGAGCGAGCCATCAGGCCAAATGTTGGGACATCATTAGCTGAGCTACTTCAGATGCTCAAACATTTGCAAACCCTCACATCTGCTCCAGCTGGAGCCCAAGGGTGCACCTCAGCTGGCAGAGCTCTTAATTCTGAGTGACACCCTGGACTCAGACTTGGCCCAGACACAGAATTAAAATGCCTCAACAAGGTTATTTTGGCTTTAGGGAGTCAGCTTGCCTTGACAGTGAGAGCAGATCCCTGCAGAGTTGTTCCCAAGTTCACTTGCAGAGTCAAGTCCCAGACTTGCCCCTGGCAAAGCCCTGCTTGCGTTCAGCCCCCCACGGACATGCCCAGCCAGGGCCAACCTATGAGTCACCCATGTGCTGGGAGAAGCGTTAACTGCACTGGATTGTGCTCCACACTGAAATATCAAATCATCTCATCATCATTTGCTTCCAGATCTGTCAACCACAGAAAAATTATTCCTCCTTTCTGACTGGCAGCAGAGGTCTCCCTTTGCTGGAGGAAACACTCGAGAGACACCTACAGCCCAGCCCAGAGATAGCAGACACAGAACTGCCTTGGAGAGGAAAATCCCTACTTTACCTTCTTCATCTGAAATTTAATGGTCGATTTGACCTCATCAACCTTAGCCACCAGGTTTTCGTTGTGGGTGAGCAGAGAAGGGAATTTCCCAGCTTTGTTCAGGCCCGGGCCCAGGATTCGAGGAATCTGCTTGATTAAGGACTCAGAAGCCAGGAAGGCATCGTACTTCTTAGCTGCAAGGAGAGAACCAGGGAGGTGAGGACAAACTCTGTTCCGACACTGAGCTCCCAGTGAGCGGCTCAGCCAAGCCTGCACAGCTCAACTTCCCCCAACAGACATTACTGTGGTCCCACCTGGACAGGGGCTGGTTTTACCAACCACCTACCAGGAATGACTGTCACAGCAGCCAGACCCCAGCCCCACTCCTGACATGGACTCCGAATGGCACACAGCTCTTTCCCTAAAGGAACTGTCCTTTGCTGAGCCCCAGGTGACACTGAACTCTTAAGCTCTGCCAGGAACCTCCTGCCACAGCCTATGCACACCAGGATGGACAGCCCATCTACGAGAGACTTAGCCAACAGCCACAGTATCCCATGTCACTTCCTAACTGCACATGGTTCCATGGCTGATTACTGACTGAGTGTCAAATTCTTGTCCGCCTCAGGAACGTGTACCAAAGAAATTCTAGAGTTCCTAGGGAAGGAAGGATTTTCTGTCCAAGAGAAAACAGACAAATTTTATTCTGTTCATGTAAGAACTGCAGGACTAAATCGCACTCTTGCCTCCAGCATTTCTCTGCTTTTGCTGCACTCCACATCCTTGATCAGGAAATCAAGGAACACAGCAGAGGGTGAAACTCTGTGACAGGGATGTTTTCCTGTGTCCTTCCCTTCCTTCTGCAGGACAACCAGTCCAATTCCTGCAGCACTGACCTGTCAGACCTCCATTGCCAACAGCTTGGTGGCTTTTCTGGGTAGTTTCTCGGCAGACTTTGGTACTCTGCTCAGTTTTCTATCCCTGGAGCTAACCACATGGAAATACGAGCTAAGAGAAAACCTCCTGCTTACCCAGACCCCTCCCAAGTTGGCCAAGGTATTCAGAGCCTGACCCACACTCACCCAACTTCTTCACCAGCTTCTTGTTTTTGTTGAGTTTCTTCAGAGCTTCTATGTCCATGTGAGGGATGTCAACTGCTTTGGCCTCATCACAGTGTTGCTGGTCCCCCAGCAGACAGACTGAGAACTTGGGCCGTGGCGTCGACTTCAGCCTAGGGATGAAAGGTCCAAGTCATTGCCTTACCAGCACCGCTCCCGTGTCCTTGGAGCCAGCACGGAGACACCTTACCACAGCACGGGGCGTCCTGCACCGCTGCTCACCTGCCGCCCCCGGCAGGCCGGTGGGGACAGCCCGGGGGGCTCCCACACCTCCCCTCATGTTTTAAGACCCAGGGTGAGGGTCCGTCCAGCCGCTCCCGCTGGGCCGGGGCGCTCTGGACTCCCCGAGCGGTTCGGCGCCGCGGCGGCCCCGGGCAGGGCCGGGCAGCGCCGAAGGCTGGGTAGGAGCGAGAGGATGGCGAACCTGACGGTGCCGGAGAACCGCTTGTCCTTCTGGGGGTCGTAGTTCTTGAGGCTGATCTGCAGCTCCACGGTCTCCACGAACCTGCGAGAGGCAGCGGGTGAGGCGTGGCCGGGTGGGAGGAGGCCAAGGCCGGGCGCCACACGCCCGGTCCCGCCGCGTTTGGGGCTCTTACTTGCGCTTTTTGGCGCGGCTGCCGTGCAGCACCTCCTTCACCGCTTCGTACAGGGTGTCCCGGGACACTTTGCTGCTGCGGGGGGAAACGGCAGAGCGGGCTCAGGGCCGGCCCCGCCCGGGACGCAGCCCCGAACCCGCCCTGGCTCCCGCACACTCCTCCTGCCATCGGCCACACTGCCCGCGGCCCAGCGGCCGCCCGGGCAGCCCCTCGGCCGGGGCGGATGGCGGCGGATGCGGCGCCAGGCCTGACCCACCTCATGGCGGCGGCTGCTCGGACCGAAAGGGGGGAGGAGCCTCCGGCGCGGGGTAAATGGGAGCGAGATCTCGCGAGACTTAGCCACGCGAGGCCATGCCGGGAGGGGGCCGCCATGTTGGGAGCGGCGGAGAACACTGCCCTCCCTCGCCCGCGTCTCCTTCCCTGTCAAACGAACAGCCAGGGGCTCTTTGACTCCTGTCGCGGACCACCAGGACAGGGGCTCGTCCATCCCTTCACAGCGCATCCCAGGAGCCCCTGGCTCCCCTGAGCAGCTGCCGGGAAGAAGACGGGGCGAAGCCGCTGCGTTGAGGAGCAGGCTGGACAGGCTCCCCGCGCGCGGCAGTGCTCTAGAACACTGACATTAGGCAGGTCCCGCTGGCGGCCCGCGCACCCCCCGACCGGGAAGGACTAGGGGAAGCGATGCCTTGCGGCTTCAGTGTGGGCACCGCGCATGCCCCGCCCCGGAACGTGCATTGAGGACGGGCGGCGGCCCCGCCGCTGTGCGGGTTCGGGGTGGGCGGGGCCGGCCGCGGTGCATGTCGGTCCCGCGGCGGACCCGGGCCCGGCGGGTTGCTCAGGTCGGTGCGCGATGGCGGCCGGGCCTCGGGGCTGCCACAGCCCCTGGTACCTCGCGGGGAGAGCTCCCCCTGTCCCCCGCCATCCCCAGGTCCGGCCGGCTGCTCCCCTCGGGCCTTGCCCTCCCCCGGTGCCGTCGCACCGCAGCCCCGTACGGGGGGCGCAGCAGTGCAGGGGGAACGAACCCCGGCAGGACCCGCTGCAGCTGCAGAGGAGCCTCAGCCGGGTGCGGGGAACGCGTGGTGAGGCGTACCGAGGGGGCTCAAAGCCGAGCGCACCCTGGGCTGCGGCGGGGACGGACAGCGCGGTCCGACTTGTTCCTGGAAATGAGACGATAAAATATTTGGTTATCTCAGAGATGGCTCAGGAAGAACCCACTGTAGCTGCTTTGAAAGATAATCTGTCAGCAGAGAGCCTCTTTAGCAAAATGTTCTTGTGGGCGTGTGGTGGTTTTAACATAATGTGCTTAGAGCCTGAAATTCTGTTTCTCAGAAGGCTGGGAATTAGTCAGGAAAGGGAGGAGAGCAGGATGCTTCCAGGGATAAAGCTCATCATCCTGCCCCTGTCTCTTGCAGTACAGGACACTCACAGCCTGTAGGTTCATTCCTTATAGTACTTGAAAACCCTCCCTGAAGATCATTTGGAAGACGAGAAGGGCTGAATGTGGCATTTGCACTGTCTCAAAGAAGAGTGTGTCGGTTCACTGGTGTGATAAGCTTTAGGTTATGTTTGTCTATGGAATAGATTGTTAGCCCTGCCTGCCATTGGTGGGGGAAGGATGCAGTATTGTCCATCTTAATCCTTCATAACCTCAAAAGTAGTTTGAGGCCATTCAAGTCTTTCCTGGTGTGCAAAAGTGAGTATACATCTGAGGAGAGAAAATAAAATGGAATTGTTCTTTTTACTTAAGGCTTGCAGCAAAAAGGACGGCTCAGTGTCCCCCAGGCCCCTGCCTCTGGGCCCGGCACTCCCGGCGGGATGGAGAGCCTGGGGCTGCCAGCAGTGACCCTCAGGGATGGCACCACGGCCTACCTGCAGCAGGCTGCCAGAGGTAACGGAGCCTGGGGCTGCCAGGGCTCAAAGTCTTTTTCTGGAATTAAAGTCACACTTGCCAAAAGTGCCCTCACTGTGAATGAGCTGCCACACATTTGTGGCCACTTCACACGAGCAGCACAGATGACTCTCTGTTGGATTTGAACAGAAGTCTGATAAAATAGAAGTCAAATGTGCCTCTGGTGTGGAAATGAAGCTGTGGAGATGAGAGAGCTGTTGCTGTAGACAATAAAGGTGCTGTTCAGACCAGATGAGCCCAGTTCTCTCTGGGGTCACTGGGGCTTGGAGGGATCTGTTCCACCAAAACTTGCCTTGGGCTGAGCAGGAGGTTTTCCTTCACTGGTGTGCACAGGGATTGATTCACAGTGCTTTTCTCGCTCAGAGAGGTGCCAAATTCAACACTTTCCTTACTTCGGTGCGTGTGAGGTGCCCCTTCCTCCACCACCCTCTGCTCCCAGAACTGGAGCATGCTCCTTCCCAGCCTGCAGAACAGGACGGATGAGCTGTGCAGCTCCACGTCCTGGGAGTTGCTCTCTTGCTTTCTTTTCTGTGAGAACTCACTGGAAGTTTATATTCCACATGTGTTCAGTTGGACTAGGGTGATGCCTCCCCCCAAACTTTGTGCTCCAGGTGAAACCAACCTGGATTCCACTATTCAAGTGGGATGGAGCAATGTCCTCTCTGCATCAAATTTTTGTGTAACCAAGGCATTTATTACAGAATTGCACAGTCAGGCTTTGTAAGGTTTCAGTCCTCAGAACCCAACTCTGGCACCACATTAGGCCCCTTTAGGTGCTGTAATTGTTTTTCAAGAGTTGATCCTCTGCCAAAGGAGGTCTGACAGACCACAAGCCCAGTGAGCTGTGTGCTGCTCCCACACAGACTTTGTTTCATGTGGGAGCAGTTGGACAGGAATGTCCTTTGAACTGTGAGATAATGTATTACTTTTGGAATAGGTGTTGGTGAAGGGCAGGTGGGCATTGTTGGAAGTAATGCATGAAGCCTTGAAAATCTCATCATTCACGTCAGAAGGGCTCAAATGGTGTCTTAAAAACTACAGTTGTGGTTGCCTTCGAGGGCAAGCAGGAAGCCTGTGTCCTCTCCTGGGAGCCTTAATGCTGTAGGATTCAGGAACTGCCACAGTATTCCCTCCATCCTGAGTCCTCTAGGAAGGTGTGTCGATGTTTCTCCTCTCTTTTAGAGTCTGTGGCTTTGGAAGACGGTCAGCCAGTGGTGCTGGAAGATGGCAGCATGGCTTACATACACAGCACAGCTAAAGGTAAAGTGCTCCCTGCTCTTCCCTCGGCAGCTGGAGCAGAAGCTGCTGAAGTGTCCCAGATCTCCAAGGCTGTGGGTGGCTGGGGAGGTAGAGTACTCTTCTGCCTCACACTCAGCAGCTCTTTACATTTAATGTAATTGGTTTTCTCTTCCAGGTGGTTATGGTCCTGGCACCTTCCAGACCATGCAGGTGGAGGATGGCTCCGCTGCCTATGTCCACCATCCTGTCATTGTGACACCTGGCAGCACCCTCCTGGAAGTGCAGACAGAAACTGGGCTTGAGGAGTTAGCTAGGGAGGAGGAAGATGATGCCTTTGACGTGGAGACCATGAATGCATTACAGCAGCGGAGTAAGGTGAGGGCAAAGCACTGCTCCCATGGTTTTCCAGCAGCACTGTGGGCTGGGGGCCATGTTCGGCCCTCACTTCAGCAGTACTTGTGTATATCTGTCTTTCAGCAGTGCCAGCTTTGAGAGAAGCAGCTGGACAGGGCTCCAGGGCAAGTGCCACCACTGATGGGTGGCTGGCAGTTACGGACCCAGAACAGGGCCATTCGGTCCCACGGAGTGCTGGGCCTGCCACCCTTAATGTGCTACAGGCTTGGATTTGGGAAGAGAGGAGAGCTGCTGTGATACAGCCTTTGACATATCAGCAGCAGCTAAACTATGGCCACTGTCCCCATGGTGACAAAGACCTCAAAAAAACAAAACAGCTTTCAATCCTAATGTGTTGTCACTGCAGTGTCCCACCTGAATATCCTGGTGCTGCTATTTTCTCCCATCTGCATAGCATTGTGTAAACGGGGCTGCCAGCAGTGTGCTGGCAATGCTCAGCTGGGCACAGACCTTTCTGCCACAGCAGGCCCAGTCCCAGCTCTCTGGGGAAGGGCATAGTGGCACTGGCTGTCATTGTCTTCCTGCTTGGGTTGCTCTCCTGCTCCACACTGTACAGGGAGGCACAAACAGTGCCTGTGCTTCTTCACCCACAGGGGTCTGACAAGGAAGAGGAGGGAGTGACAGGCACGTGCCATATGAAGAGTATGGATTCCAGCAACGTCCCTTCTCAGGTCTGAATTTTTCAGTGACTGGAACTAGACCGAACTCCTCTTTGCCAGCGAATAATTAAAAAAGCATTGGTGGCTTCTCTGCCGAGTTAGCAAATAGTAAGTGCACATTTTACAAATGAGCTGAGCAAAGCCCAGAGAGGGAGTGAGGTGTCTGAGAACCCCCAGGGAGGTGGGAGTGGGAAATGCAGGTTCGTGGAGCTCTTGTCACCTGGGCTGCACTATGTGGGTACAAGCTTGTCTGTAGGAACATGGTTTTGGAGCATAACTGCAGGAGTGCATATGTATGGCAAGGAGGGAAATATTTGTGTGGGCTTGGTGAAGCCTGCTGTGGTGGCTTGCTGGATTAGTTCCTGTACTTGTCTTGGCAGGATTTGCAGGAGGAGGAGGAGGTGCTCAGCCACAGGAAGGGGCAGCAGGTCAGCAGCAGAGCTTTCCGCTGTGGGTACAAAGGCTGTGGCCGCCTCTACACCACCGCCCACCACCGCAAGGTAAAACAGGTGATGTGGCAGTGTACAGGCCAGACCTGTCCCAGGTTACAGTGCCAGGGTTCTGCATTCTGTGCAGCTGTTTTCCTTCCTCCTTGCTCTGGTCCTCATTTTAATGACCTGTTCTTTCTTTTCCAGGTACATGAACGTGCTCACACAGGTGACCGGCCGTATACATGTGACTTCCCAAGTTGTGGGAAAGCATTTGCTACAGGTAACAGCTTCTCTTTTGAGCAGATTTTGTTTTCTGTCCAACCCAAAACCCTGTTGAGCCTCAGCCCTGGCTCTGGTCCAGCAAAGCACAATGTCCAGAGCATCTAAAGCCTTCTGCAAGGGAACCTCAGCACGGGAGCCTGAGGACTTGATTGACTGTAGTCAGATAATGGTGGAAGCAGGATAGGATGTAGTGTTGGGGGCTGTTTGGATATTTCTTACCCCTGAGCTTTGTGGACACAAGAAAGACACTCAAGTACATGAAGTGGGGGGTGATACACAGCTTGTCATGGTGTTTCTTTACGAAATTAATTGTGATTTCTGTCCTGGATAGGGTATGGGCTGAAGAGCCACGTGAGAACACACACTGGTGAGAAACCATACAAGTGTCCAGAAGATATGTGTAGCAAAGCCTTCAAAACCTCTGGGGATCTACAGAAACACATCCGCACACACACAGGTGAGCAGCACAGCGGGAGAACTGCACTGCCAGTGAAAGGGTCTCCAGGGCATTCCAGGTAGCTGCATGGTGGCAGGGCTCATCCATGTCACTCTGTCAATGCAGGTGAGCGTCCCTTCAAGTGCCCCTTCGTGGGCTGTGGCCGCTCCTTTACCACCTCCAACATCCGCAAGGTTCACATCCGGACGCACACGGGTGAGCGGCCGTACGTGTGTCCAGAGCCCGGCTGCGGGAGGGGCTTCACCAGTGCCACCAACTACAAGAACCACATGAGAATCCACACAGGTAGGAGGCGGCCAGCTCCTCCCAGCCAGCAGCAGGGAGGTCTGTGGGCATGAAATGGGCATTTCCAGGCCTGGCATTGCAGGACTAGATCTGGGGGTGGTCAGGGAGTTAAAACAAATAGTGGAAATTGCTTTATTGGGTTGATTATAGTTCCACTGGTCCACCTCCAGCTATTTGCTCTGGGGGGGAATCCCTCCCTGGAGCATGAGGAGGGTGAGTGGGTGAAGCTGTGCTCTGTGGCCTCTGCCTAGGAGAGAAGCCATACCTGTGCACTGTGCCAGGCTGTGGGAAGCGCTTCACGGAGTACTCCAGCCTCTACAAGCACCACGTGGTGCACACTCACTGCAAACCCTACACCTGCAGCAGCTGTGGGAAGATGTACCGCCAGACCTCCACGCTGGCCATGCACAAGCGCAGCAGCCACGGCGAGCTGGAGGCCACGGAGGAGAGCGAGCAGGCCCTCTATGAGCAGCAGCAGCAGCTGGAGGGTGAGCCCCCACTCCCCCATCACCTGCAGCAGGCTCGAGTCAGATGTGGCCAAGGGGAGAGAGGTGACAGCAAGAGCCTGCAGCCGCTCCCCTCTCAGACCCAGGTCTGTGCCATGGCCTCTTGCCTCCCTATCAAATCCAGACTCTGATGGTCCTGGTCAGGTTGGGAACAGGTCCCTGGTTGGGAACAGGTCCCTGCCCATTCTATAGTACAGGGAGAGGTAAAGGCCCTTCTTACCAGGCCATCAGTGGGCTGGTGTTATTGTGATCTTGTGCTCTTCTGTGCTTGAGGCCACAGGCAGGTCCTGGGGCCCAGCATGTGCTTTCATGTTCTGATAATGCTGCTCTTCCCTTTCCCTCACCCAGCTGCTGACAGAGGCTGCCCACTGAAGAGCCAGCATGTTGCTTTCCTGTCGGAGATGGAAGAAGATGAAGAGGAAGATGTTGTGCCTACACAGGTCTCACTTATCTCGCAGGATGGAACGGAGCAGGTACAGACACTGACAGCCTCCAGCACATCAGGGACAGCAGTTATTATCTGAAGTGAGATTCTGCTTCTACCCAGCTGCAGTGTTCTCTTCAGGGCGTTTTTTCAGCATAAAACAGACCCTGGGGCTCCATGTGCTCTGCCTGCTCTGAGGGCTCCCTTCTACAGCCTCACCCACTGCTGCAGTCTTGGTTTGGGGTGCCTCTGATCCAGCAGGAAGGGTGCCTCTCCCTGCTGATGGGGTCTCCAGGTGTTTGCCCAGGCTTGTGTGCAGTGCCTGTCAGTCCTTGGCTCCCAGCAGCTCCCAAGATGTGCTGACATAGGCTGGATTTGGAGGTGTTTTGTCATCATTTGTATACAGTAGTGCTTTTCTTCTACTTCCCTCCACCAGCTGCCCATGTGCTGAGTGGAAAAAACTCCCTTTTGTGGTACAGGGCAAAGGAAGCAGCTGCCAAAAGTGACTTGTTTCCTCTTAGCCTGAGATGCTTCTGCTGCCACAATGCACAAGCTGTCCTGTACAGTCTGGAAAGAAGAGGCTGAATGGGGAGGGGAGCTGTGGGACAAGTGAGGAGGGCTGGAGACCCAAGCTCTGAGTTCTCTGTCATCAATTCTGTCCGTGACCCTGGGCAAAGTCCTTGGGAGTTCTCACTGCCCTGGGTCTTGCAGGGAGATTGTTTCATCCTTGCCCAGACCTTTGCATTGCTAAACTAGGGAGTTGCCTAAGACTCCCCGAGCATCCGCTGTCATCCCCCAGGTCAGTCTGTCACAGGAAGAGCTGCAGGCCCTGGGCAGTGCCATCGGTGTGGTGACACAGAGCAGGGCCCTTGCCGTACCCAAGGGGAGCTGGCGGGTGACAACACTCGCACGGTGACTGTGGCCAACACTGACCGCACTGAGATGCAGGGGGTACAGACAAAACTCGGACCTTTCCTGTTCTCTGCTAGAAAGGAGCTGCATTTTCTTTTGAAACATGATTGGTTTTAATCTGATTTTCCTAGGTGACCATAATTGCTTCTGGGGCAGTCGTGCCAGAGGAATCCGCCATTGCCCCACTCTGTCATCAGCAGGTGGCATTGCTGGCCACTGCCCATGGCACCCACATCACTGTGCAGGTACCACATGGCTCCTGCCACGCACCCCTTTGCTCCCTGGCCTCCTACTGCCTGCAGCACTTGCCCTCTTGCCCTGCTGCATTGCTGCTTGTCTAGAGGGCTTGCTCCTTAATTCCCAGATACCCTGCATACAGAGGACAGCACAGGGACATGCTCCTGGGATTGCAGAATGCTCCTCTGTAAACAGCCTTTCTGCATCACAGCCATGTCTGCCCCTCTGCTTCACGCCTGTGTCACCCACCCCCTTGCCCCTCTGTCCTGCTGAGGGCTGCCCTGAGATGCCTTTTGGGGATTCAGCACTCACTGTCTCTCTCCCTTGCCTCCCCTAGCTGGAAGAACAGCAGAGCCTGGAGGAAGGCATCAGCATGGCTGCAGCTGTAATCCACTGTGGACCGGTGACACCTGACACAGCCCTATCTGAGAAAGAGAGCTGAGGCCAGCAGAGCTGCTGGGGCAGGGGGAGAGGCAGCCCTGGCCTGTCGTAGTCAAGACCGGTGGGTGCTGCAGGCAGGACATGGGGCAGGGATGGTGTCTGAGCCAGCATGTGCCCCACCTGGGCTGGGAGGGCTGACACGGCAGTGCGGGGCTGTGCGAAGGGCTCTCCTCTCCAAGAAGGGAGGGCAAAGATACTGGACTGCTGCCTTCTCCTGGAGGCTCTGCTGGAGCCTCTTCTGGGGTCTGAGCAGCAGCCCTGTTTTCAGAAAGGCACTTCCTGCCGTCTACCTCTAGGAATAGTCTGACAGCTCCCCTTTCCTGTCCACCCCTCCAGCTCAGGGACAAGTGGGCAGCGTGTGCACGGAAGCAATAAAGGCCCATCAAAGCAAGCCCAGGCTGTCCTGGGCTCAGTGTCAAGGGTGACCAGTTCCTGCCATTGGAGCCAGCACTCAGACAGCAGTTCTCCCATCTCTTTGTCACACTCCGCTCTCAAGCAAGCTTCCATGGCTGACTCCTTGGCTGGGAGCAGAGCAGCCAACACTTGTCAAGGGCTGAGCTGGACCTGAATGTAAATGTTGAGTTGAAATATAAACAAAAATGTTGTTTTTAAAAGCAGCCCCCTTCTCTCTGGTGGAGGCTGGAAAGAGGTGATCAATGTTGCTGTTTTGCAGCTGTAGGGATTAAATAAATTGAGGAGATTTGTGGAATTGATGGAATGTGTCCTGCCAAAGCAGTGACTGTCCCAGAGGAGGGCAGGGAGCAGGGTGAGCTGTATTCTGAGCCCCCAGTGCGTGGCTTGGAGGGGGCTAAGAGGTGTCTCTAAAATCTCAGATCAGGTTTTGGCTCTTCCAGGGACTCCCTGCAAGCCCAGATTTACAGAATTGTGTCTGTGAACACATCTTACAGGCCCCTGATCTGGGGAGAGGGACTTGGGCAGGTGCCCTCAGCCCTTCCACTGCGCTGGGCATTGGGCAGACAGAGCCAGCACGGGAAGCACCACAGAACCATTTTGTCTGGAAAAGACCTTTGAGATCGTTGATTCCAACTGTAAACCTGAGCCCAGTGCAGGCTCCCGGCAGTCAGGTGGATCATTCTCTGGACGTCCCCGAGGAGTTTGCGGAGGAAGAGGTTTCTGCGGGCACAGAACGGGCACAACCCGGGAGGGTGCAGCACGCTGGGTCTCCCCCCACCTGCGCTGATGCGACTGATCCCAAAACAAGGAGAGCTGGAGCCGTTGCAAAGCGCAGCCCGTGCTCCTGCTGCGAGGGGAAGCTCTGCATCTCAGTCCCGGGAGGGAAAGCTGCAGCTTGAGCCAGGGAGGAGATTTCTCTCCCCAGAGCACAGATGCCGGCCGGGCCGAGCTCAGCGGAGGGTCGGTGAGGAGGGCGGCGGAGCCGCAGCGATGCGGCCCGGGGGGTTCCCGCGGCTCCCCGGGCAGGCGGCGCTCCCGCCCCGCGTCCCGCCCGCCCGGGCGGCGTCCAGGAACCGGATCCGCGGGCTCGGCAGAGCCGCCGGCAGCCATGGACCTGCGAGCAGAGCTGCTCAAGTCCATCTGGTACGCCTTCACCGCCCTGGACGTGGAGAAGAGCGGCAAGGTCTCCAAATCCCAGCTCAAAGTGAGTTCCCGGGGGGCTCGGGGAGGGGGGACGGCGAGGGGGGCAGAGCAGGTCCAGGGCTGCTTTGCATCCCCTCACTTTCCGCGGAGGAATTGTTAAATACTGAGATCAGTAAGACCTTGCTGTTGCCTCTATACTGATTCTGGTGAAGTTCTCAAGCTCTGCATCACCTCCCTTTAAAAAAAAAAAAAAAAAAAAAAAAAGAGGGAGGGGTAGGAGTTCATGCTCAAGTGTGTTTTCTAGGTGAAAATGAGGAGAAACCTAGTTTTTAGTTCTTTACAGTTTCTTACGGTTTTTATGGCTAACTAACAGCCCAAACTCAGTTTATATTTTCTTGCTTGCCAGAGCACCTGCATTTCTGCTTCCTGCTGAGCCACTGGGTCGGGAGGTAGGGGCAGCTTGTTTTTAAACTAAAACTCCACAGTGGTGTGGCCAGAAATAACAAGACGTTTTTAAAAACTCTCTGCTTTCCCCTCTCCCCCAGCTTAGCAGCTTTCAGAGGGCTCCTGCTCTTAGCCCTTTATCAAACCCATTACGGCTTTAAAAACCTTTTTGCCTGCCCCCAGGCTGTGTTTGGTCGAACCCGCCAGGGAGCCCTTGGCTTCGACAGTAATTATTGATTTTTTTTTCCTTTGCACATGGTGGGCCTCGTTTTTGTTGCCATGTGAACGTTCTCTTGGTTCTTAGGCTGGTTGGAAATGCTGGTCAGCATCGGGGGCTGAGATGAGAGGAGAGACCTGAGCAGAAAAATGCCGGGCACAGGGAGATGTTGCGTCAGGACTTGGCAGCTGCTGCCAGTCTGCAAGACCACTTGTGAAGTGCTGCAAAGAAAGCTCTTTTCCACTATTTCCTCTATTTTATAGGGTTTCCCCAGGACAGACTGCAGGGAAGGTGCTGCGCTTGGTGGGGAGGCAATGTTTTGCTCCAAAATTAAGAGTTTGTTTGCAGGAATCTTGAGGAAAAGTAGCAGGAGTCAGACAACTCCTGCTCAGCCACTGCCTTTGCAGCAAAGTCTTCTGCTGCTCCCCAGAACTCATAGCGTGTGTCCTGCGAGCCACACTCACCTGCTAAAACTGAAATAGAAGACGGAAAATAGCTGAAGGAATTAAGGAAAATCCCAAAGTAGGCCAAAGCTTAATTCCCTCTGCTAATCCCTAAGAGGGGCTGCTGTGTTCCCCTCACAGCATCCCCTGCACCCAAGCTCTGGGTCCTGAGCCCAGCCCAGGCACGTGATAGACCCAAAAGCGCCAGCATGAACACGTGCAGTGCTTGTCTTGAGAGATCTTTATCATCAGAGATGATGCTGAGGCCACAGAGACCTTCAATTTATGGCAATTTCCTAGAGAGCTTGTGCAATGGGGGACAGGGGCTGCAAACCCTCGTGTAGGGGCTGTAGGGGTGCTGGAGATGGTGTGTCCACAGCAGCTTTACCCAGGGTGACATTCCAGAGGGGAAGGGAACTTCCCTCCTTGATGTTCTCCCCCAACCTTCAGTGACAGGACAGGTTGGTAGTAGGTTGAGCTGCACCGTTGAATGATGAAGTTCAACGCTGGATAACTTTCCACCTGCCTCGAGGCCTGGGAGAGATCATTTCCATCCCCCAATATGCTCAGGTTTGTCCCAGCCTACACAGGCCAGCAGCAGCATTTTTGTCCGTTCGGTGCAGAAGGAATCTGAGGTCTTACAGGTCTGATTAATAACATGTTGAAGCCACAGGGGCTGAGCCCTCTCCAAACCCCTCCCAAACTGTGCTCTGCTCCCTCACCTGGGCGTGTAGCTGCATGAAGGGTCTTGAACAAGGGTGGGAGAAACAGCAGCGTTCAAAGGGTTTGCACCTACAGAAAGGAAGCAGTCCCAGAGCTGTGTGGGATTGTGCTGGCAGACGGGCAGTGTCCAAGTGGGAGCTGGGCCTGAATTCCAGCCTTGTTCCAGCCAATTGCTGTAAACATACTGGGGTTCCCAGTGTGGTGGTGCAGCTGTGGGAGCCGCTGGGCTCCTTGCAGGGGCACTCCTCTGCAGAGTGTGTGCAGACACTGTGAGTGTAGGTGTGTATGTGCACAGGAAGGAAGGGCAGCTTGCGGTAGAGTGCTATGCGCCGAGCGATGTCGGGTGGTTTTGTTCCTAGCGCAGGCACACACCAGCCCTGCTCTTGGAAAGGCATTTATCCTCTCAGAGCCACTGCATCCTCCCTGGCCGAGCAGAGGGAGCTGCTCCCTGTCTCTGTGGATGTGGGCTGGGATGTGGGATGTGTGCCTTCAGCGTGGCCATGCGTGGCTGGAGCAGGAGGTGGGAGCCACCAAGCACTGTCCTGGTGCTTTTTGGCACCTCTGTTCACAGGTGGTGGGGGTCATGACAGTGGCTGCACACTGTCATATTTTTCCCTTGCAGTCTCTGTTTCAGAGCCCGAGGGTGTTTCCCACCTCTCGTGTGTCCAGTCACCCCACCATCGGCCAGGCTGGGGCTTTCCTCCCAGTTTGTCCAGTGACAGCTCTGGAGTGGAGGAGCTGTGGGTCATGGTGTGCCAAGATGGACAGAGGGGCTTGAGGTGCCCATCATGGGCAGGGGCATGTGCAAAACCTCCCAGTGCTTTTTAGGGGTGCTGTGAGAGGGGTGAGGGATGGGGACGAGGGCCCACATTGGAAACAGGGAACAGGATGCGATTCCCAAAGTTTCGGTCCATCCTGACAGATGTGTTAGCCATCCTGGAGGATGTCCAGGGTGTTCCCAACCCCTTCCAGTCCTGTGCAGGTCCCAGGGCTGCACCAACCCCGAAAGGTGCAGCTGTAGCGACAGTGCTCAGGGCTGCAGCCCTGGTGTGTGAGCACAGGGCGGAGTCCTGCTGATCCCATCAGTCTGGAGGGTGGAAAAGAGAAAGAAAATCTGGTTGAGCAAGAACCATCTCCAGCTGCAGCAGCCAGAGTGGCCTCCGGCTCCTCTCCTGCTGGGAGGAAATTTCCAGACCTGCATAGAGGAGTAGAGATGCTGTACCACCTCCTCCTCCAGGCCCTTTCTTGAACCCTTGGCCAGCTGCATCCACAGATCCTGGTGCAATGGGGCGGCATCAGTCTAGGGTGCTCATTTAATCATCTGCTCTTGGGAGGTAAAGACAAGGAGAGCACTGCCTGTCTGGCATGACAAGCTGGGGATGCTGGTGATGCTCATGGACAGCCTTGCTCTGAGCTTACCAGCACGTGGGAAATTTGGGAGCTTCCAAACACCCTTTGTTTTGTGGAATGTGAACAAAAGTGGGCTGTTGGTGAGACTCATGAAGTGTTTCTGCAGATGGTGCATCTCCAGATCTCCACTGTCTGCTTCCATTCCAGACAAAACTTTTTCTTAGTTTCTTATAAATCTTTTCTTTTTTCCTGTTTCATCTTTCTGTGCCCCCTGACAGACAGACACTGCTGCCAGGCTGGGCCATGGTTGTACCAAACACATGGCTCAGGGTGGCTTATCAGCTTTTCTAGATCGGAGCAAGTCCTGTTTTCTCTGAGAGGTTTGAAACAGCTCTTTAAAAAAAAAAAGTTCCTCGTGTGCTTAGAAAAGTAACTAATATGGAAAAATCCTTTATTTTTGCCTGTTTCTAAATGATTCTCTAAGGTTTTCATTTGGGAATGATGCCCCGTCCTCTGCCAAACCCAAACTCTGCCTCAATGCTGTGGCTGCAGGGAGGTCACAGGGCACAGCGGGTGTGGGGTGGCACCACAGAGGCGTGCTGGGGCAGGGCTGGAGGTTGTTCACCTTCTCACCATCCCTCGTGCTTGGCCAGGTGCTGTCTCACAACCTGTACACAGTGCTGTGCATCCCCCACGATCCCGTGGCGCTGGAAGAGCATTTCCGCGATGACGATGATGGGCCAGTGTCCAGCCAGGGCTACATGCCATACCTGAACAAGTACATCCTGGATAAGGTGAGCCCCTTGGCCTCGGAGCGGGGGGACACAGTGGTGCCTCAGCTGCTCCTGCATCACATGGGAGCCCAGTGGCTCCACTCCCTGCAGCTCTGGAAGGTCACGTGCTTTGACGGGTGGAAAAAGGGTGCAGAGAGATGGGGAGCGCTCAGGTGAATACCAAAACAAGTGAGAAACGTTTAATTCTCAATGTCTCCACGGCAAAGATGAAGTCAGCCCTTTCCATCAAGGCTCTGGATGGAGCAGTATCTCTGCCCATGTTTCCTGCACGGCTCAGAGAGAGAAATTGGCCCCTTTTTCCTCTCTAACCCTGTTCAAATTTGGGGTGTGACGTCATTTGGTGAAAAGGAGAGGGAGGAGGATGAGGTGCCAGATCAGGAGCAGAGTTGGGGTGGGCAGGGGCTTTCTCCCTTTTTTCCGTAATTCGAAGGCACCTTTGTCTTGTACAACCACAAGTTTGTCCATGGGTGCTGTTTCCTCCAGGCATGCAAGGAGAGGAAGAATGACTGACAGCTTTCTTGCACTTTGTGCTCACAGAAGGGGGCCAGAGCTGGGTGCAGTAACCCTTCGTTCCCCTGGCTCTCCTGGCATGCTGGTCTCTGTGGGTCTCTGTGCCCATCTTTGCCTTGCCTGGAGCTGGTCAGGAGCTGCCCAGTCTGGTGCTAATCTTGGCTGTGGGGGATCTGGTCTGCAGCGAGTGAGGGCAGAGCCTTCCCCAGCTCCCTCTGCCCAGGCAAGAGCTGCCCAAGGTCAGCCCAGCCCAATCTCCCCATCACAAAGTGGCCAAAATCCTTCTTTGGGAGATGATCTTTAAACCCCCTTCTTCTGATTCACCGTAAATAATTCTGGGTAATAAAATCCCAGAAGCATCCTGAGAAGGGGAAGTGGGTTTTCCTAGTAAGAGAGGCATTTAGCTTTTGCTACCCACCCGAAGGTTTTCCTCCAGCTCTGCTGCTGCAGGCTGGGGTTTGCTCTTGTGCTGGCAGCCTGTGGCTCCTACAGCTGGGATGGAGCACCCAGGGACAGCCAAGGCTCCTCACACATCACAGTTCACCCATCTTCACCAAACCTGCTGTGTGAGGCTGCTTGCAGTGCCAGGACACAGTTACAGAAGCTCACAGACAGCAGTGGGGCCGGTAGAGGCATCGTTCCTGTCACCACTGCTGCCTGCCCTCAGGCCAGCACTTCCCTTTGCTCCCCAGTTCCTCTTTATGGTGGAGTGGGATAAAAAGAGACCCGATCCCGTGGAGGTACTGGGGAGGTTTGAAGAGCACCACACTGCTGCATGTGCTGCACCACGGGGTTCCTGCTGGTGCTCCAAATCACCCCGTGCTTCTCACTGGCAGGGACAAGAGATTTTAGGAGTGAGGGTTTCTTCCTGCTAGCACTTCCCCCTCAGAATCCCTCTCCATAGCCCTGCGCCTCCCTGCTCACCCCCAACTCCTGCCCACAGGTGGAGGAAGGTGCTTTTGTCAAAGAAAACTTTGACGAGCTCTGCTGGACCCTCACAGCGAAGAAGAACTACAAACCTGACCGGAATGGGAATAGCGTTGTATCCCACCAAGATGCTTTCAAGCTCTGGTGTCTCTTCAACTTTCTGTCTGAAGATAAATACCCTCTTGTCATGGTGCCAGATGAGGTAGGACTGCCTCTCCCCCCCATCCCTGCCCTCCCAGGGCTCCGTGCTCTGGCAGAGCCCTGTTTGGGGGTAACACATCCTGCTATCGCTTCCGGGCACGTCCCACCACATCCTGCAAGAAGTGGTGCTCCAGGGGGAGAGAGAGAGCAGGCAAGGCCTGGGAGGAGGGGGCTGTCTGCCCTGGGCATGCCCTGCTATGCCCACAGCCACCCCCCCTGCCAGGGAGAAGGGGGTGATTTGGGAGCATCTGGGAGGATGCCTCCAAAACGCTGGACCTTCTCTGCCCCTAGAGGGTAGTGGCAGAGCAGAACTGTCTGTTCCTCTGTGGCCGCTGCCACCAGGCACTCAACCCCTGCCCAGCATCCGGAGTGTTAAGGGCGAGGTACCAGCCAAAGCAAAGCCTCTGGCAGTAATCTCCAAATCCCACAGAATTTGGGGGGGGGGGGAGGTTCTCCCTTCTCCAGGGTCAGATCAAAGCCCCATGAGAAGGGGGGCAGATCTAGGGAGGAGCCACAAGTGTAGAAGCCAAGAACAGACCTCAGCAAAAGGAACTTAGCTGCGCAAGCAACTGCTGTTGGCTTCTACCCCATCAACCTCCTGAGATCAGCAGAAAAGTAAAAAAAACCTCCAAAACACAAGAGGAGAAAAAAAAGGCAAGAAGGGCCATGCTGCACAGATGTAGGAGGGCAACCACACTTCCTGCACCCTGCGAGAAGTGTTTCCTGTTCCCCAGACCATGAGAAACTGAATCATCCTTCTGCTTATGGGGCTGAGCAAGCGCATTCACTGCTTGCCCTTCTCCTAGTTAAATTACATTAAAAATCCAGCGGAGGGAGGGACGGGGACTTTGCTGTGTGTCACCTTCCTGTGTGGCTCCCTGCAGTCATCCACCTGCCTCAATCCCCAGATCGTGGGCAGCTGACAGCAAAACTTGAGCTGAAATAGCTCTTCCCCACATCATGTCAACCATCTTGGCTCTTTTTAAAAGCACTTTATTTGCATTTTCAAAGCGATGCTCATGTCCTTTGGGACCTGTCCCCTTGCTGCTCCCAGTGGTTTTGGAAATCAGGGTGGTGCTGACCTCAGGGCTGTGCTCTGAGACACTGGCCTTGCAGGCTGTGTGTGGGGTCCAGCAGTGCTGGCCTGTTCTCCCTCAGGCTCTTGACTGCTGCAGAGTTTTCCTACTCTGCAGACAAACCAGCCAAAATATCTCAGCCTTGGGGTTAAAAGGAAAAACCTCCCAGTAGTGGTCAAGCTCTAACCCAGTGCCAGCCTCCTGAGCCAACCTGCTGCCTAGAATGCCTTGGCCATGACCTCAGCCACTGCAACCTCTGGGATCAGGGTTCTGCATCTCCAGGCTGGAAAGAGAGGTGGTCTTGGGCTCTCCAAAAGGGGTCAGTGGGGTGGGAACAGCTCTCACTTGCCCACGTCACTGAGTTTCCCCATCCCCACAGGTGGAGTACCTGCTTAAGAAGATCTGTACGGCCATGAACATGGAGCTGAACTCCTGTGAGCTGGATGACTACCTGTCCCAGGAGCCGCAGGGGCAAGAGGGGCTGACGGTCTGGCAGTTCCTAGACATGGTGAACTCAGGGCGGTTCCTGCGAGGCATCGAGCAGGAGGCCATCAGCATGGCCGTGGAGGAGGTGTACCAGGAGGTCATTGAGGATGTGCTCAAGCAGGCAAGGAGCCCACATGTCCGGGGGTACAAGCCCTGTCCTGCCCCCAACCTAGTTTTGATCTCCATCTCTCCTGTACAGGGATACCTCTGGAAGAGGGGCCAGCTGAGGAGGAACTGGTCAGAGCGGTGGTTCATGCTGAAGCCCAGTGTCCTTTCATACTACATGAGCGAGGAACGGAAGGAGAAAAAGGGGAGCATTGCATTGGACAAGCACTGCTGCGTGGAGGTACGGCCAGGGCCACTTGTCAACTTGGGGAGAGGAGACCTGGGAGATCTCCTTCAGAACCCAGGAAGGGAGACCCAAGAACACACAGTTTTACATCCATGAGCACGGGAGCCAGGGGGATAAGGTGGGGTACAAGGGATAACGCTGTCCTGTGTCCTCACCCTGCAGGTGCTGCCTGACCGGGATGGGAAGAGGTGCATGTTCTGTGTGAAGACCTCCTCCCGCACCTATGAGATGAGCGCCTCTGACACCCGGCAGCGCCAGGAGTGGACACTCGGTCTGTGCCCACCCCATGCCCCTTCCCCAGCTTCCCCGTGCCCCCCTCCATGTCCCCACTGACTGTGGCCTCCCTCTCCAGCCATCCAGACGGCTATCCGGCTGCAGGCTGAGGGAAAGAAATCCCTACACAAGGACCTGAAGCAGAAGCGACGGGAGCAGCGGGAGCAGCGGGACCAGCGTAAGGCAGCCAAGGAGGAGGAGACGCAGCGGCTCAAGCAGCTGCAGGAGGAGAAGGAGAGGAAGCTGCAGGAGCTGGAACTGCTCAAGGAGGCCCAGCGGCAGGCAGAGATCCTGCTGCAGGAGGAGGAGCAGCGGCGGAGGCAGCAGCACGAGGAGATGCAGAGGACCCTGGAGATCCAGCTGCGGGAAGCTGAGCAGGTGGGTGCACCCTGTGGAGGGTCCTGCCAGGGCTGCGTTGCTCATGGGGTAGGTGCTTCTTTCCCCTTCCCTTGCCTGGGTCAGCCTTTGGACAGACCTGAGATCCCTGTGGAGCAGGAGATGAGGACAACCTGCCCCAAGGGTATGGAGGGGGGCAGTGAGACACAAGTGCTTGGTGCCAGGCTGGCCAGGGAGCCCTTTTCTGACCTCACAGCCAGCATTGGCTCCAAATAATGCAGCCTGTCTCCTGAGCAGGGGAACAGCTTTGCTTTGGACCTCTTGCCATGGGCTCTCCCTGTTTTGGGAGATGTCTGGCATCCACCCTGGGATGCAGGGGGTTCTGGGGACAGTGGCAGTGGCCCAGCCAGCTGCCCACACTGATGGCTCCTGTCCTGGTGGCAGGCTCGTGCCTCCATGCAGGCAGAGATGGTCCTGAAGGAGGCAGAGGCAGAGCGTCAGCGCAAGCGCATCCTGGAGCTGGAGGCCATGCAGGAGCGGCTCCAGGAGGCCCTGCAGCAGGAGGTGAAAGCACGGCAGGACGAGGAAGCCGTGAGATACGCGCAGGCCAGGTAGGACCAGGGCATCCCTCCCCCTCCTCAACTAGCCCCGCTCCCAGGGCAGCAGCTGTGCATGGGAATGTGCTCCCCAGGGCAGCTCAATTCTCCTGGGTACAGGGGTGCACTGGTGACTTCCCAGTATGCTGGCAGGGACGGGGCAAGCTGGTGGATGAAGTGGCAGAGGGACATCCTCACCTCTTGCTCTTCATTGTCAGGCTACTGGCTGAGGAAGAGGAGAAACTGAAGCAGCTGATGAAGCTGAAGGAGGAGCAAGAGGAATATATCATCAAAACTCAGCGGGAGAAGCAAGTCCTCAAGCAGGAGATGGAGAACAAGAACAAATGTCTGGAAGAGGCACAGAAGCAGCTGGAAGAAGTGAGAGTGAACAGGCAGCGGGTGGACCAAGACGTCATGGTGAGTATCACATCAGTGCCACATCCCTTCATGCGGTGAGCCCCAGGGGACTTCCCAGCCCTCCTGGAGCCACCTTCCTACTGGGGAGGACCCAGCAGCTTTGGGAACCAAGGTGACGTTGCCTCGGGGGTTTCTGAGCTGTGCCATGTGCAGGCATAGGGTGCTGCAGTGGCTGAGACGGGATAAGCATGTGCTGCCCCGTGGAGACAGCCCTGGTGTCCAAAGTGATGTCAACAGTGGGAGTGTGTGGAGAAGTGTGGGAGTGTGAAAGAGGAGCAGGAGACCTAGAGGAGGGTGAGCTGGGTCTCCATCCCAGAGGGAACCTCCAATCCAGGCTTACTCAGGGAAGGGAAGTCCGTGCCCAGAGTCCCGAGTCGGGGGCAGTGGGGTGACCAGCTCACCCCTCTCCTCCATTCCCTTCCAGGCAGCCCAGCGGAAGTTGCGGCAGGCCAGCACCAACGTCAAGCACTGGAATGTCCAGATGAACCGACTGATGCACCCCATTGGGCCAGGAGGTAGGAGACCAACCAACCACCCTCTCTTGAGCACGGCCATGCTGGGGCATGAGCCCAGTCCCCCACCCATCATCCCCTCTTTGGGGGCATCTGGGGGCCAGAAGGATCCTCATCTTTCAGAGAAGGAATGCTGCTTGCAAGAAGAGGCTCCACAACCCTTTTTCTCAGTTGAATGGTCAGTTTGGACCCCAGGTAAACAACTCTTTCTTTCTGTCCACCCACAGACAAGCGTTCAAACGTGAGTGGAGGAGTCTTCACTGGCTACCAGCCCCTCCTGTCCCAGAGAGATTCTTCCCTCAAACTCAAGCAAAAAGTGGAGGATAAAAGCAGCGGCCTCATGATGGACAACAGCGAGGGAAATGTGAGCAATGGTGGAAACAGCGGTGTTCTGCCATCTCCAGATGCGGACACCATGGCCACAGAGCCCACCAAGTAGCCCAGCAGGATGGCAGAGTCCAGCTGGGAATGGTAGGGCCCAGCTTGTCCCTCTGAGCAGACCTTTGGTGCAGCTGTCTCTGGGTGAAGCCAAGTGCAGACCAGCGCAGAGCCTACAGGGGACTGCATGAGGCAGCAATGCTCCCACTTCCATTAGTAAAGGGCTGCAGCCGCCATGTGCCAGGAGGCTCAGGCAGCCCAACTGTGGGGAGGACCATCTCCTCTGGGCTGCTGGACTCAACTCCCTGCACTCTGGTTTCCACGCTACCCTAAAAAAGAGCCACTGATGGCTCAGGACTGCATGGCTCAGGGCTGCAGTTTCTCCTTGGTTTCTACCACAACCTTTCTGCATCACCCACTGAACCCCGGGCTGTGGGGCCCTGCCACAGTTGCTGCCAGGGATGCCTGGGCCAACGGAGCGTGACCTTCTCATCGCGCCCCCGGCACAGCCAGGGTGTCCTTAACTACAGCTATGTTCGCTGATAGTGGTTGTTAGTCCTAGAGTCCTTAGAATTATCAGAAACCAAGAAGCAATAAAGCTTTTGGAGCCGGTGGCCCCTAACCTCCTGCCCTGCACACTGGAGGCCCTGCAGGCACCAGCTCTTTCTCCTTGGCGTTGTGGGGTTTGGATTCCCCCTGTAGAAAAGATCCCTTTGAAAG